AGAAGAGAAAGGAACTTGAACATCTCTTTTCACTGTATAAATAGGCAAAGGAACATGTATAAAACGGAGGGCTTTCAATTCTAAAAGGTAAGTTTGACACAAAAACATACCTAAACATTAGCAAAAGGTTAGCAAATCCACACTGAAGCTAGACCATGGCAGTATCATGATGGGGATCACTAAATTATGAGGGAAAGGAAAGTGATCAGTTCCAGACTCCAGTCATTTTGTCTGATTAAAAAAAAGCAGAGGCCAAAGATCCCTCATTCAAGCAGCTGTTAGGCTCTATAACCATCACTACTCCCAATAAACTGACAAGTTGATCACTTAAACCCTGCTTTTTTTGCAAGTTCTCCCTCCCACTTAGTAACTATGGAGGAGTCTGAAATTGTCCTCGTAGGTGCATGTCCACAGTGAGGGACAATCTAAAGTATCCAAAAAATTACAATGTTTTATTTACTATTTATTGGTATGATACAGCTGCAAATAAGTATTTGAACACCCAAGAAATCAATGTTAACAATTGGTACCGTAGTCTTTGTAATTACAGAGTTCAAACATTTCCTGTAGATTTTCACCAGGTTTGCACACACTGTAGGAGGGATTTTGGCCCACTCCTCCACACAGATCTCTAGATCAGTCAGGTTTCTGGGCTGTCGAGAGTGTAAGCTCCCTCCACAGATTCTCTACTGGGTTTAGGTCTGGGGTCTGGCCACGCCAGAAACTTGATATGATTCTTCCAGAGCCACTCCTTGCTAATCCTGGCTGTGTGCTTCGGGTCATTGTCATGTTGGAAGACCCAGCCTCGACCCATCTTTCATGCTCTAACTCCGAGAAGGTTTTGCAAAATCTCGCAAAAAATGGCCCCGGTCATCCTCTCAATAGAGTGCAGTTGCCTTGTCCCATGTGCAGAAAAATATTTCCAAAGAATGATGCTACCACCCCTATGCTTCACAATAAGGATGGTGTTCTTGGAATGGTACTCATCATTCTTTTTCCTCAAAACACAGTTAGTAGAATTATGACCAAAAAGTTCTACTTTGGTATCCTCTGACCACATGACTTTCTCCCATGATCTCTCATCTCTAGATAATCCAAATTGTCGTTGGCAAACTTAACATTGACATGTACTAGTTTAAGCAGGGGAACCATCCATGCAACCATGACGTATTACTATACTACCAACAGTAACCCTGGAAACAGTGGTCCCAGATTTTTTCAGGTCATTGATCAGCTCCTCCTGAGTAGTTCTGGGCTGGTTTCTCACTTTTCTTGGGATCATTGAGACCCCATGAGGTGAGATCTTGCATTGAGCCTCAGACGGAGGGAGATTGACAGCCATGTTTAGCTTCTTCCATTTCCTAATGATTGATCCCACAGTGGACCTTTTTTCACCAAGCTGCTTGGCAATTTCTTTGTAGCCCTTTCCAGCTTTGTGGCAGTGTACTATTTAGTCTCTAGTGTCTTTGGACAGCTCTTTGGTCTTTGTCATGATAGTAGTTGGATTCTTACTGATTTTATGGGTTGGACAGGTGTCTTTATACAGCTAACGACCTCAAACACGTGCATCTAATTTAGGATAATAAATGAAGTGGAGGTGGATATTTTGAAGGCAGACTAACCGGTATTTGAGGGTCAGAATTCTAGTTGATAGACAGGTAATCAAATACTTATTTGCAACTATATCATACAAATAAGTAGTTAAAAAAATTATATATTGTGATTTCTGGATTTTTTTTTTTTAGATTATGTCTCACAGTGGACATGCACCTTTGATGACAATTTCAGATCTCTACATGGCTTTTAAGTGGGTGTTTAAATGCTTATTTTTATAACTGTATCTCCTGCTTTTTCAATCTTGTTTTTTATTCATCAATATCCAAAAGTGTTTTGTATTGTATTTAATATGACCCTGCTCAGCTGGACACTCATTTTCTGTTCATATCTATCAGCTTTTTTGTGTTAGAAATTTATAATGTCTCCCTTTTTTTGTATATATATATATATATATTTGTATCTGAATGCTTCAATTTGTTTGTTTGTTTGTTTTGCCGCCAAGAGTTTTGAATTTCCCTGAGGGGGAGAATAAAGGTTATTTATCTCCCATTTTAGCTTATGTGTTAATAAAAAAAAAAAAAAAAAAAAAAAGAATAAGTGTAAAGTGAAACAGAAAGTTGGATATGATGTAGTTTCACCACATCCTGGCAGCAAAATTGTGAGATTCTGAAAAAGGAAAAATGCATTGTTTACATTTGAATTTGATCAGTCTTGGAGCTTTGACATTTGTTGGTGGTTTTAACTTTTTATAAAAGCCAGTTCCTTTTTTCGTTTTGGTTGCATCCTTTGTGGATTACCTTGAAGACATATCCATTAACTTACATCAGATGCATGCAGTTTTAGTCATTTACCTAATGAAAAAAAAAAGACAGGGTTGCACATGAAGAACATTCAAACTCCAAGCAGAAAAGCCCTGTCTGGGATCCAACCTTCCTGCAACAAGGTAACAGTAAAAAAGCAGAGCGATCATGTAGCCTCCACAGCACCAATACAATAGTTGTTTTTCTTAACCCAAGACTAGTAGTCTCCCGCTTCATCCGGGAAAGGATCAAGGGGACAGCAATCTCAATAGAGACCCCCAGACTTCCCTCTGAGGCGCTCCCAGGCCAGCCGAGAAACACAGTCCCTCCAGCCTGTCCTGGGTCATCCCTTGGGCCTCCTGGTGGGATCAGGGCATCTGAAAAAGATAAGCAACCTCATCTGACTCCTCTCAATATGGAGGACAAGCAGATCTACTCCGAATCACTGAGCTCTGCATCCTATCTCTAAGCGAGAGCCCAGCCACCCTGCGGGGGAAATTCATTTCAGCTGTTTGTACACGGGATCTCATTCTTTCATTCATGATCCAGATTTCATTACCATAGGTGAGGGTAGGAGCATAGACCAACCGGTAAATCAAAGGTTTTGCCTGTTTTTTCAGCTCTCTCTTCACCATGACAGACCACAGCAGAGTCTGCATTATAACAGCAGCCGGACCGTTCCGTCTATCAATCTTCCGCTCCATTCTCCGCTCACTCTTGAACATAACCCCAAGATATTTGAATCCCTCCACTTGAGGCAGAACCTCTCAACAAACTTGAAAGAGACAAGCCACCCTTTTCCGGTATAGAACAATGGCTTAGGACTTGGAGGAACAGATTTTCAAACCAGCCGCTTCACACCTGCAAATCAGTCTGGCTCCTTCCTCCTCTTGGCAGGAGGAAGCCAGCAGAACTGAGCAATCCACAGAAAGCAGGGATGAGACCCCAGTTCTTTACGCCCATGGTTTATCTTTTAACTCTGCACTAGTATGTTTTTCTCATATTCGGAAGAGGATTAGGGCCACTGTAAAAATAAAAAAGTTAACTGATATAAATATTATTTCAGTTTAATATGGGAAAAAAGTCAATTCTGACTTTAATCAAAGAATTCTGAATTTTTCTCAGAATTCTGACTGAACTCTAACAGCTAAACATTTTAGCATCAAGCTGTAGCCATGCCTGTTTTAGAGACTAGCTCTTGTTTTAATGACCTTCTGCTGTTCCATTTATGAAATTGCCCAATTTCGTCATTTTTCACCAGTGTGTTACTGGCCATCCCAAAAAAATCACATCTTTGTCACTGGAGCTGAGTGCTCCCACATCTCTTCCTTCATGGTGCCCATCTACATTAAGATCCAAAATTCTGGGATTAAACTCAGAATTCTGAGAAAAAAGTTGGATTTCTGAGATTAAAGTCGGAATTCTGAGGGAAAAAGTCAGAATTCTGAGATTAAAGTAAGAATTCAGAGAAAAAAGTTGGATTTCTGTTATTAAAGTCGGAATTCAGAGAAAAAAAGTCGGAATTCTGAGATTAAAGTAAGAATTCGGAGAAAAAAGTCTGAATTCTGAGATTAAAGTCAGAATTCTGAGAAAAAAAGTCGGAATTCTGAGATTAAAGTTGGAATTCTGAGAAAAAAGTTGGAATTCTGAGATTAAAGTCAGAATTCTGACTTTTTTTCTCATATTATACTGAAATAAAATTAAAAAATCAGTTAACTTTTTTTTTCAGTGGCTCTAATCCTTTTTTCATACTCATACATTTAAGGTCCACATTTTTTTTCCTATCTTTTTACTACTGTAAACACCACATTTTCCTATTGTGGGACAATAATAGGATTTTCTATTCTATTGTATTATATTCTCTTCCATAATATCGAGATTTAACATGCTTATTGGTCCTTAATATATCTATATATATATATATATATCTATATATATATATAGATATATATATATCTATAAATATATATATATATATAGATATCTATATAGATATCTATATATATATAGATATCTATCTATATATATATATCTATATATCTATATATCTATATATATCTATATATATATATATATATATATATATATATATATATAGATATCTATAGATATAGATATCTATATATCTATAGATATATATATATCTATATATCTATATATATCTATATATATATATAGATATATATATATATAGATATATATAGATATATATATATAGATATATATATCTATAGATATATATATATAGATATATATATCTATAGATATATATATATCTATAGATATATATCTATAGATATATATATATATATATATATATATATATATATATATATATATATATATATATATATATATATATATATATATATATATATATATATATATATATATCTATAGATATATAGATATATATATATCTATATATATATATAGATATATATATTTTTTTTCACTGTACCATTCTGATTATATCATCAGTTAATGACATGCACCTGTAGGTTATATCAAAGCCTATTGGTTAGAAATCCTAGGATTCCCTCCCCAGGATTGCTGCTGGCAGGTGAATTTAGCTACGGAGGGAAGCAGGGCAGCCCAGCAGGCAGGAGGAACTCCTCCCCTCACTCTGCGATCTGTTACCTCCCCCTCCTTCGGAACCATCAGCAGCGCAGGAGCTACCGTGCCTTTGACGGAGCAGCTACAGTAAAGCCGGAGTCACAGTTACACCCCGCACAGCCATGGCAGACAACGCCGGCTTGGAAAACCACCGTATCAAGAGCTTTAAAAACAAGGGCCGCGATGTCGAGGTGAGCTTACACGAAAGAAAAACGAAAAGGGGATATTTGTAATCTATATTACAGCGCAATAAATAAGTCTGCGGGCCTCGTTAGGTAGTCTGGCCCCAGCTGAAGCTGCCTACCAGTCAGTCTGTCAGCTACCTAGCCAGTTGGTTAGCTAGCTAATTTCAACTACCAGAAGGATTTTCTCAGCAGATGTCCCACTAAAAAGCGACATGGATGTTTGAACGTGTTATGACCACAGCTGTGGTTGTCGCTTAATTATGTGGAGAGTGAGCGACCGCTCCTGTTCAGCCATAAGCTTCATGACATTTGATGAAATGTTGAGGACTGGCGGTGTAGCTGTCAGGTTAGCTTTGCTGGTGGGATGGACACCGGGTCACAGGCTGGGCTGGGCCCTGCCCGGCATTTCCAGCGTTCTACTGCCGACACAAGCTTACCGACTTAAAATTACTCCCATACCTTGTCACAATGCTATGATCCATAAAATGAAATGTGATATAAACTTAAGTGACTTGTCCACATTTACCATACCCAGCCCTTCTTGCTAGCTAGCTATCGCCGCGAGGAGGCTAACCAAGCTAAGCCACTAAACGCTGAGCTAAATGACGATATTTTGACCCCACAGGTTTTTTCGCCATAGGATTGACATTAAAGCGATCTTAAATTTTTATTTCCAGACTTTGTCTGTTGAGTCGGATATTTAACAGAGATTGCGTTAACTTAAACTAGCAGTTCTGATAAAAGCCAGCTTTTACCTGCTCTAACATACAGATCTGATACATGTGTTTAAGTTTATGAATCACAGCTTTGAGTCAAATGTTCCTGAAAGCTTTTCAGCTTTTGTTTTTGCGTTTCACGTTTGCAATTCTGCATTGAGATACGCATCATTACGCCTGTAGGTCTAGTTTAAATAGGTCCATTTCTCAATTACCCATGAGCATATTTGAATCCCAAAACATGTGCATTTAAACCCACATTCGCGTTTTTTTCTGCAGAATTGGTAATAATACGTGTAGATAATGCAATTGTTATATAGCAGTCCTTCTCAAATCTGCTCTTCAGGGCCCTCTGTCCCTGCATGTTTGAGATGTCTCCCAGCTGCCATTCACTTAACTTAAATATCTTAGTGATTAAAAGGCTTCTGTTGCACTTCATGACACCATAAGAAGGTAATGCAATCATTTGAATATGGAGTGCAAGAGCAGAGAGCATCTAAAACACTAACTTACCAAATGTCACAGGCTCATTACCCATCTAGTTTTGTTCTAAATAGTTGTCAATCAAGATAAGTTTATCATCCGTCAAGTAAGCCGAAACAACTTAGATCACAGAAGACATTAAGCTTCTGATCAAGGCTTTTTATGCATCTTGAAGGTTAAAGCACAGTCATTCCCAATTTGATCCTTTTCTAGTTACAATTGTTACATGTCAGTGAAGTAATTTTTTCAATTTTATGTGATCAAATTAAAAAACTAAAGGAACCTGCTAACGAATTGTGAATGGTTCAATGAGACCCAGACCATGTAAAGGTGTGAATAACTACTTCTGCAACTTGCACAGTTTTGTGTGGCAGTAGATACCTAATCCAACTTGCCAAACTCTTGACTTTCCTCTCATCATATTGGAACTGTCTTGTGGCAATTTCAACTTGGACTCCCAGAGAAAAAAAAAGGGAATTATACAGCAAGTCTTTTTAAAAAATCACAAAAATCCTCCACTATACCTTAAGCAATATTTAGCAACACTTAAAACATGGAAGTGGTCCAAAAAAGGCACTTGAACATCTCAGGATCTTGTGCTGAAATTTAATGACAGTTATTTCTGCTAGCTTTTGAATGTGTCCCTGGACCATCATTTCTGAATCACATGCAAATGATCTCATGCAGTAAAGCTCTATAGAGTCCTGCTGATGATAATGTGAAAATGATGCATTGAGGCGGAGTGATGTTTTACAGTTGCAGGACATGGGCCTCCGAGGACTGCAGTTTGACATTCGGGCCATAAACTTTTAAAATACCATTAATAAGACTTCGCTGTCTTGGATAAGGATGGGTAGTTTGATGCTAGTAATGCAGAATCCAAATATTCAGTGTACATATAAGCCATCAACGCGTTAAATCCTCTGTGGTTGGCTTGTTTATGGTTAAGATCAGATTATTTGATGTTTTATTCTCTGTAAAGGAATCCGTTTTATTTGGGTCTGTGTATCAGCATTCTCGCTCCTTTGCAGTGGTCAGGAGATGCCTCTCTTCCCCCGCGTCCATGGTTATGACTGCCCCAAATTACGTAAGAGGCTATTTAGGAAGGCAACATGAACCTTTTTAAACAGTCACAAGATCATAGACCATTTCCAACTGCTCTGGATTATCTGGAAACCCAGCAGACGCACAAATACAGCAATTGCATAAACCAACTGCTCAGTTGGACTTGATTTGACTTATTTTACAGACCCTTTCTGTTTCAAGTGATCCTTCTGACATGATTCTGTTAAAAAAAATAAAAAATGTCATCTAAACAAACTGTTTTATTTTTGACCTCATATCTTATGATTATACACACTGTAGTGTATTACATTAATAAAGCCCTCCAATAATGTTTACCTCTTCTGTTATTGTTTATAAATAAAATTGTCATTTACTGTTTTTTTTCTTTTTTTACAGACTATGAGAAGACATCGAAATGAGGTGACAGTTGAGTTGAGAAAGGTGAGAAGTGTTAATGTTTATATATTCTCTTACACCAATCTATGGACACGACGTAGTTTTTCCCCACCAAAGCAGTTTCAGTGTGTAACCCGGTCCAAAGAGTCAGCCTAAAGCTTTGCCATTCTAAAGTGTTTGATCCTCCCTCTGTTGTAGTCTGGAAATATTGTAGAGGATAACAGTGCAGGGAGACTGGGTAACTAAACACGTCACATTTTTCATTTCAGTATTGCTGCAAACAGGTGCTCTGATAAAACCTTTAATTATTTATGCTGTCTGAACACCTTGGAGGTTTATGTGCACTTAACCGCCCTGACAGGGTTGTCTCTGATGTCATGGGCACCAGCAGCCTGCAAATGAAATTTCTACACAGAGATGTTGTAAATAAGGTTGCCTGAACATTTTGGTTCAGAAACCAATCAAAATGTTCAGAAAACTGGCTCCAGAGAGTGATGAAGTGGCAGTAGTGTTACAGTGTGGGAGGGGGTGAATGCGGTGGTGGAAGCACCAGTGGTGTAGGAAGGTTGAGAAAACCATTAAGGATATTTCCCTAGTATTCATACAGGCCTGTGGTTTTTATTATGCACTTTTTTCTCAGGTGATGTTCTGGCTTTATATGGTTTTCTTTACTTAGTCCTATTTCTATTTTACTTAAACGGTTGCCATTTGGAAACCGTTTTTAAATAAAAAAGAGATTTGTACATTTTGCTGGTTTGACATAGTTTTGTTAGGTCAGTTGCAATTCGAGGTGTTGCTCTAGAAATCCATTTTCCCAGAGGGAGTTTTTAGACCCTCCATGATAAAGTCGGCTTGAAACTACCAAACTTCTTAGTCAGATGGGTGGTACTGTGCAGACAAAGCAGTGGTGGACTCGCAACAGTTGAAACCCGCCCCAGAATAAGAAAGTATGAAGTCCAATTAAATGACTTTTCTCCCCTGCTGGGTTCATTGTTTACATCCTGGCTGTATCCGAATATCTGCCCTAATCCCTCAATGACTATATAGAGTGGCGACTATGTAGTGGACTTTATAGTGAACTCTGTTAACTGACCGTTGGACAGATGATCACTACTTTTCGCTCCCCGTTGGTCGCTGTGACAATAAATCCCAGGATGCTTAGCTCTTGCAAAGCTATCTGAGATATATCTGCTGGTCCCGTGACCATGGACGACTGCTACTTTTCAAGGTGCATTGTGGGAAAATTCGAGCTCATTACTTTTTCATCCACTAGATGTTCGGACGCTGGTCTAAAATGGCGTAATCACTATATACTGCCCTATGTAGTGATTAGGGCAGATGTTTGGACACAACCCCTGTCTTTTTTCCTTGTTTACATCTATGGGAAAGCTAGAGCGCCTCTCACTGGCATTGCCTATGACAGCTTTGTGCACTTTTGTTTTGATGTTTTCTACACAAATGTCTTTTTCAACTCTGATAGAGCTCAAGTCAACCTGCAACGATTTGTTTTTGTTTTCCCTCTAATGCTGTGGATTTTTATTGGCACAGCCTCCAGATTGGAACAAAATGATAGAACCTCAGCTCAGATTGACTTCAGAGCTAGTTTAGGGGTTTGTTAACCCTGCTGGCAGATGCGACCCAGGACCTAATCCAATGTATTTGTTTTTTGCCCCTATTTGCATGGCATTCAAAACAGGCCAATCCTTTTTTTTTTCCTTAAAGCACATTTTGTTACTCCCATATGTGGTGCTAAATCAAATCTAATAGTTTGTAAAATGTTTGTGTTTAAGGATGTCTCCATCTGATATTAGGCTAAAAACTATTATTGGATTAGATCTGCCTGCACCTTAAATCTTGAACATTCTAACATGTCTAAAGTTGATGTTACCCATTGGTATTATAAAAAAAATAGTCAGTTGTTCAATTATCAGTAAAAAAAATGTTGTACCCGTTTATGTTGACTATTGTTCTTTGACCAATATCACTTAATCACAACTTTTCTAACATTCCACACTACAAAATAAGTAAAGGAACGTATGATCCGTACCAATATTGGTATCATTATTGATCATCTCTTATAGTTTGCCCCATGGTTGCCGCTGCTCAGGGATCAAAGTAGATAGTCTTCTGATAGGGATAGGTCTGATAGGTAGATAGGGATTTAAAAACAAAACAGAGAACCTACATAATTGCCTTATAATGCCATGGAAATCTGGATCTTAAATTTTTATGAATATGTTTACTAAATGTTTAAATGTTCAAAGGAAACTGAGGATGTTGTAATGACAATACAAGGAAACATTTATATCATATAGGAAAAGATAGAACAAGAACTAAGAGAACAGTATTCCATTTACCTTTTCATCTGGATGCAATGAAGTATTTGCTTTTGAGTATAATTTCTGTTCTTTTTGGTTGAAATGAAAGAAGATTTCGCATAACCTCATGAGTTGGAAGAAATGAAATCCTGCTGGACAAAATGTTTTTTTACGCTTGGCAGAAGATGATCAGCCACTTACAGTTTAAGTAGTGAGTAGCCTGGTAAACCAGACTAAATGGGAGATGAAAGGTGTTATTTAGTCTGGCCCTGATGAATGAGACATCGGAAGATTGTTGATGAGAACAACCTGTTGTCTTTCAAACCGCTGTCTGTGCCTATTGGCCAACGCTCTGACCAATGAGCTCAACTGACTGTGACATAGTAAGCGGAAGCTGGTGGGGGAGTGTAAACAAACGGGTTGTTGGTAAACTGGTGAATATGTCCTTCTCAAAAATGAATGAGCGTTGAGCCTCTTCCTGCTCACATTTCAATAACAACCCCAATGTCTAATCCTTCCAAAACTGATTCCAAAGCTGAGTCAAAAATCGCCATCAGAGCCAGCGGTCCTTCAAACACTGCTAAGCCAAGAGAGGGCTGCTGCAGACGGGCTGCGTTTAGCCCTGGCCTCCGTTAGCTTTGGAGGTCTCCTGGTTGCTGCGGTCCTCTCAACTTTGGAAATTGTTTCTTTAATTACGCATTAAATCGGTAAATGGACCATATAGGGACTATTTAAAGTACATTCTCGCCTCAAATGATCTTAAAACATTTTTATTGAACAACAGAAAGAAAACTTTTAGCTTTCAATAGGGCGCACCTACAGTCGTGCAGTTTTGTCGTCACGCCTTCAAAACCCTGCCCGCTTTCCACGCCAGATTTAGGGCGTGGGGCATTGATCGAGGCTAGACCAACTCGCAGGCAAAAATGATTTTGGCCGCTGGCAGGTGGGGTTAGTTTACTCGGCTAAGTAGCGAGGGCAGGAAGAGCCATAATGCTGAGAGCAAACCGTCAGTGTGAAGCACAAGGGCAGACTTTGAGCTAAGTGACACGCAAAGACTCATTTATGCACTAGCACAGCTGGAAGAACAGCGTTTGTCCAAGTTGAGCGCAGCGCCGGACCATTCCAGATTGCCGCTGCTGCCGTGGTCCATCTGTGGTCATGCAGAATGTGCGCCGCTGCACGGCAGGTGAGCAGCATGACCAAACAGGATGCAGCAGCAAGGCTAATACTGCTTAGTAGATTACAGCACAATGATGCATTTTAAACATATGAGAGACCACCCGCTAACGTTTTTATGTAATCTCGTCCCATCAACGTCCCATCAACGAAAACTTACGTAGGTTCCCGTTATCGCCATGAAAAAAAGGAACGTCAACAAAATTATTTCGTTGACAAAAAACAACACGGAACTTGATCAAGTCCTTTTCTAACATTCTACAGTACAAAATAAGTAGTAAAATTATGTATGATTCGTGCTATTATCGTATCAGGTCAATATTGATATCGGCCAAATCTTAAAGCTGCAATATCAGTATTGTATCAGTGATGGAAAAATTTGTATCGGGACCCCACTATTGTAAATATTTTATTATTTATTATTTTTTTTAAATCTTTTTTCGCCTTATGATGTGACCATAATGATGTCATCTTCCATTGTTCAATAACTTGTGTAAGAGATATCAGCATCCGTTATTACTTCCCGTAAACGGTGTGCTGCTGTGTGAGGTGTACACTGTGGGTTACCTTAGGGCTGCGAGAGCTTCACACTGGACTCTGATGGGGGCTGCATTTAATAGTCTGAATGGCCATGCAGGGAAAAACAATCTACCCCGATGTGTGCCGTCTCTTCACTTTTTAGAACATGAAATGGTAAAACATTAAAGATACCTGTTATCTAGCAGAAATGTGTCATTACTACCGTTTTAAAAGATTCTTTTGAACATCATAATTACATCTGACATTCATTGAAGTTTTTCCTACATGTGTTTTTGTTGTGCAAAGGAAGTCTGTGTCTGAGCACCATCTTCAACCTTTAACTTAATAGTTTAAAGATAATGGAGTGCACCATGTTGATATGGCTCCTTTTAATAAAAAAAAAAAAAGATGCAGTAAAACACTATCAGCACATCATGGGAGCATACTGGTTAAAAATGGGTGCTGAATATTTCTTATGTGAAGCTCTAAAGTGGTTCTGAGTCTAGCGCATTCCTTGTAGCTGGATCAGAGCAACAAGAAGTACTGCACTGGATGATTAGTCATCAGTGACGCACATAGGCATGATGCACAGGAATGTAGGGCAAGGGAATCTCCTCCTACCACTGACTCACATGCTTTGTAGACGCATGCTGAATGAATATGAGCTTTCAGAGTTGCAGTGTGTTGGGTTTTAGATTCAGTGTCCTGTTTTAAAGAGGCATTTGTAGAAAAAAATAAAAACATGTTCATTTGAAACTACTTTCTATTTGGGTTGAAGCTAGAGGGAATAAAGCTATTATCTAAGTTCAATAACTTTAATCTATATATTGTTTTCTTTTCTACATTCATTAATGTAGAAACACTTTGAATTCCTGCCCTCAATGCTTTTGTGTTTTCTTCCTTGGTCAGAACAAACGAGACGAACATTTACTGAAGAAGAGAAATGTTCCCCAGGAGGAGAGTCTGGAGGATTCTGATGTCGACTCAGACTTTAAAGGGGTAAGTGTGGCTGTAAGTTAGACTCAAAGATGGGGAAGGTATAACAGTTCAATTCTATGAAAAGAGGCTGTATTTACTCGCCTTTGATTGGCTTTCTTTATGATGCTAAGCCTATAGTTCTTAAGCAAAAAGTATAAAAACAAAGATTTAGGCAAGCAAAACATTTATCGTACACCTGAAAATCAGACATACTGCAAAGCTTGAAAAACAACCTGTGAACGACATAGTTCAGAAAACAGGGTATTTAGAGCTTAGAGGGGATTATTAAGCAATTCATCTTCCCTGCTGACGTGCTGAGGATATTTTCCAAAATGCGATACTTGTGAATTCATATTGTGATGTATGAAAGTTATAACTTATTCTTAAATACATTGAACTTTGAGTGTTTAATCATAGTTCTTTTTTTTTCTTTTATCTACAATAAAACATTCTTTAGTGCATTTAGCAGCCATGTTATGACATCACACAAAGTGCAGCATGCATTGCGAATCCCTCTTTGTCCTGTCTATTGTTGGTGTGTTGTTTGATGCGTTAATGTTTCTTTTTGTTTATATTGAGGCCTTTATAACAACTGCTATTATTTTGTTATGCAAATGTAGGTAGAAAATACAATCGGCTTTAAGATTCGGCCTAAAAAAGTCAGCAGCACAGACAGGGATCTGACAGACTGATGTCAAAATATTCAGCATCGGTTTCCTCCTTGACTACATATACAACCTTTCTTGCAGTTTGAAAAAAAAATTCAATAGACTGTTAATACTGAGCCGGTAGGTTGATTGCCAGGATCCCGTTTCATACTTTCAAACATTCATTAGATGCTACTCTTATTAAAATGATGCTCGCCATTTCCATAAGAACTACTAATCATTGACTCTGAGTAACAACTATTAATCTTGTCTGCATATCAGAAAAGAAACGGATCATGGTCGATGTTTACACCGGAATAGCTGCACATATTCAAACTTTGTTTTTTCCCTCTTCCACTCTTGAAGCAGAAAAAGAAAAGTGTTGAAACTTAATTACTGAATTGATAAAAATCTTTTGTTACATAATCAATTGAAGCTTGACTAAATATCATTGACATCACTGTGGAGTAATGATTCATCCCTTAATACGACTAAGGTATAGACTCAGGAGACTGGTTTAAATTCTTTACACAAGTCTCTATATGTATATCACAAAAAAATCATTATCACAACGTTGGTGTCCAAGAAATTGGAAAAATATGGATTAATTGCAACTGATATAAAGAAATTCCTTGGTTTTAGCATTCGTCTGTGGCGGAATATGACTTCACCATCTGATACCAGTTATGACATGCATTTTGCTCATGTACAGGGTCTGTGTTAGTCTATACTGCTAAATCTCCACAGCTGTTAATATTCTCCATTTCTTATTTTGCAGCAAAATGTTACACTTGAGGCAATCTTACAGGTAGGAGTTTAATTCAATTGTTGAATTGCACTATCAAATGTTGCAAATTGTTAGTGGCTGTTATATAATGCTTTTTGTATTACTACAGAATGCAACCAGCGACAATGCAGTTATACAGCTCAGTGCAGTGCAAGCAGCCCGGTTAGTAGCTCTAAAATAAAGGAGTTTATATTAAAACTTAATGGTTTTGATTGAGAATAATTTCAAACTTTTATTTTTATCTTGTCAGAAAACTTCTCTCAAGTGACAGAAACCCTCCCATTGATGACTTGATAAAGTCTGGGATTCTGCCCATTTTAGTAAAATGCCTTGAACGAGATGATAAGTAAGTGTTCTATGTTTTTCCTTTTTATTCCTTTCTATAACAAAACAAAAAAAACAAATTGTAATTTTCTAAATCTGATGCCACTGTGGCAGTTTTTTTTCTAATGGTCACAGAAGCTAGGTGTGCATTAAGCTTGTTATTTCCCACTGCGACCACACGTGAGAGTGAGCTTGAGGCATGCAGGGCAGCTGGCTGCCTCTCTCAGCTCAGGCCAAGCCAAATATATCGACATTCCTGTCTCTAAGAGTTCCCCAATTCCCAGGACCTTGTATCCACTGAGGGTAGAGATTAAATAGCTTAGTTGTAAGAACTATAGGGAAGAAGTGGATCACGCAACAGCTACATTTTGGAACACATGTTCTTTCTAGAGATCATTCTGTATAATCGATTGCTCTTCATAAAAAAAAAAAATATATATTTACTATTATGACGAGAAGCTAAGTTTTGATTTTATCCAGCAGTACTAAATATCTTTAAATTGAGTTCTCTGAATTCTTTCTTGGAGAAAACAGACCTGATTTACTACCAACAGGCCTGTCGCACCATAGCAATGTCTTGTTTATTTGCCGTCCGTGCTAAGAAGAGTAAAACAAACCATCAAGAATTCCAGATCTTTATTGGAGAAAGTTAAATATTTATTGTGGTGGATGGATTAATCACCCATGACCACAATATTTTGATATTTTCCTTTTGTTGCATCAGTTTTTCAAAAAAAAAAAAATGTATTACTCCTTCCTCATTAACATAGCTTCATACTGATAAAAAGTTTGAACTCTAAACCTCAATGCTTATTTCACATAATCCATGTAGAATATACAATTACCAACCTATTAAGGATCAATGATTTGGGAATTGGATGGAATTAAGATGTTCTGTTTTTTTCCCCCCAACAAAAAAAAAAACAAAAAAAAAACATACATGGGTGTTTTTTTTTGTCCTTTTTCTTGTTAATTTTTATCTTACAACTTATTGTAATCTCTGGCTGATTTAATTTTCTCTTACTTTTCCAGTCCTTCTCTTCAGTTTGAGGCTGCCTGGGCTCTGACCAACATTGCCTCTGGAACATCAGCACAGACTCAGGCTGTGGTCAAATCAAGTATGTAGACCCAGTGTTACCCCCTTCAGTAACAAGGATTTGTTTTTTTTTGTTCAGAGAAGTGGTGGTTTAAAAAAACAAACATTTTACTAGGTAGTGAAACAAAGATTAATGTGAAGGTAAATCTTAAGCTTTTTAAATTTTAATGTAAGTCTGATCATTCCCTTGAGGTAAGAAAGTGCATCTTAGGAATATGTTATAAAGATGACTGTAGGAGTTGAGATAAACACATAATGCTTGTTGTTCTTGTGCTTGTTTATTGTAACATAGACTCCAGGTAGCGAGAAGTATAAAAAGAATGATGGGGCAGTTTGGGTAATTGTTTCCTTTCTAGCAACATGTTTTCAATGGAAATGATGCAGGTGGCTACAGCTGCTGTTGTGGATATAAGACAGTCATGTGTTTCTGCCAGAATATCTTTGTCTTCCAAAAACATTTTCTACAATAAACCAGCTCCACCAAATCTTAATACAAGCATACCGTTCATGAATGTAATTAATAATGTAATTCCGTCAAAGGTCTTCCAGTCCATGATACTATGTACCAATTTATCATCATTGCAGTAATAAAGAAAATATGTAACATCCAATCTTAACCAGTGAAATCTGCATGCCTAACAAGAAGTGGCAAATATTACTTTAGGATGTAATAAATCACCCCCAAGTTATTAGTGCTAAAATTTTCATGCAGGGTTATTTAGTTGTATCCATGATAATAACTAAAACTTGTCCCAGGGATTAGAATAAAAAGATAATTTGATTTCTTTTTCTTTCTCATCAGAAATTGACATGTTGGTGTTTAATAAAAAAGATGCTTGATCTGTTGCAAACATATAATGATTTTTAAGATTTTTTTTTTTTTTAAATGTTAGCAAAGCAGGGAGCCAACACTGAGGCATGGCCCTGGGGAGGCATGTATATCCCAACAGTTTCTTTTATTCTCAAGAAAAGGCTGTTAATTATTAATGAAGGTTTTGTTGTCTTCTCTGCTTAGGTTTTATGTGATGTTTTGGATTTCTGTTTTATTTTGGCTTTGAGTGTTTCCTGGAAACAAGCTTATCTGTGGAGCTGCACAAGCTGTCACCTCGGGCAGAATTTTGATTTGTTGTTTGTACATCCAGACGCAGTGCCCTTGTTCCTGCGACTGCTCCAGTCCCATCACCAGAACGTTTGTGAACAGGCTGTATGGGCTTTAGGAAACATTATAGGTAAGTAGAACCTACTGATGCTGGTGTGCGCAAGTTAGCAGCTCAAGCCCAGGCTGACATGTTTATTACTTCCTGCTCAGGTGATGGTCCACAGTGCAGGGATTATGTCATCTCCCTGGGTGTCGTAAAGCCTCTGCTCTCTTTCATCAACCCATCAATCCCCATCACCTTCCTCCGCAATGTTACCTGGGTCATTGTTAACCTATGTCGCAACAAGGATCCCCCTCCACCCATGGAGACTGTGCAAGAGGTGAGCATGTCTGGAGAGGAGTGTATGCTTTACTGGCTACATCTTAGATCTGCACCAGTGAATCTTCTGTTATTGGTTAATTATTCTTGTAGAAGCATAAGCTGTGATGAAGACTGGCTTTGATATTGTATCAGCCGTTTTGCCATGCTTTTCTTAAAGGAATAGTACACCCAAAACATGATTAGCCTTCATTTTCTACTCACCCCCATGCTGAACAAAACTCTGGAGTACTTTTTTGATATCTCAAATGCATCTGGAGATCTGGGAGGCTTCTTGCTGTCTGCTGACATTCAAATAATGGAGGTCTATGGCGCCCGAGACAGAAAGGTCCACAAAAACGTGTCAATATTCCTCCATACTGCTCGTCCAATGTAATCCAAGTGTCCTGAGTGGGTAGCATCCAGAATTTACTCGAAACGAAGTCATTTAGAACGTTTTAGAGCCTAAACAGTAGTGTATAGGATTTCCTAATAGCGCCCCCATGCGCGCTCACGATTCTACGGAAGCCGGCAGACCAAACCGGAAGGAAGTGCGCATTCAGCGTCTGCTCTGCCGATAATGCAAGCGTAGAAGAAGAAATGTGCTGTTTACCTGTGCAAAGAAAAACAACGAAAGAAAAATGTCTGAGGACTTCAGTGTTGAGGAAGAGCATGAGTTCTTTGCCGAGCTGAATGCGCTGGTTTGGTCTGCCGGCTTCCGTAGCGTCGTGAGCGCGCATGGGGGCGCTATTAGGAAATCCTATACACTACTGTTTATGCTCTAAAAACATTCTAAATGACTTCGTTTCGAGTAAATTATGGACGCTACCCACTCAGGACACTTGGAATACATTGGACGAGCAGTATGGAGGAATATTGACACGTTTTTATGGACCTTTCTGTCTTGGGCGCCATAGACCTCCATTATTTGAATGTCAGCAGACAGCAAGAAGCCTCCCAGATCTCCAGATGCATTTGAGATATCAAAAAAGTACTCCAGAGTTTTGTTCAGCATGGGGGTGAGTAGGGCTGGGCGATATGGAAAAAAAACTATATCACAATATGGATTATTTTATATCACGATAACGATATATATCACGATATACCACAACTGATGTTGCATTTTATGTTTTCATAGTCCGTCAGATGGACAGGGTTGAAAAAAATCTTTCATCGCCTATTTTTTACCGATCATCTTGTTTCCTAATATGAGAATCCCAACCCCAAACCAAGAACACCAGTTATGCAATTTGCGGCCATGACAGTGAACAGTGAAAAAGTTTATCACGATAGAAAAAAATAGAGGAGAAAGGTCACGATAGACATGTTTCTCTCGTCCTCACGATATATATCGCCATATCGCCCAGCTCTAGGGGTGAGTAGAAAATGAAGGCTAATCATGTTTTGGGTGTACTATTCCTTTAATGTGATGTTTTTGTTGGAAACTGATAGAACTCCAGCTCAAAATGAGAAACTTTCACAGCAGGATTTTACAACATATATAAAAGGCAGATACACCAGGAATATGACTCTGGGTGTTTGGATCAATGTGGCAAAAATGGAGGAATAAAATGTAAAAGACAAATCGAAGTAAAAACTCAACAAAAAAATAAACTGCTCCTGTTTTTTTATCCCCTAAAATATTGTTCATAAACCAGTCTTTGGGTGTTTTCGATTTCAAAGGCTGCATCCTTCCAAGGACCAGCTCTATCTTGAGAGTCTTGGCTGTCGATTCAAACAGGTCCAGCCTTCAGCGGCTTATATCCCTGTGCGCTCTATCGCTTAGCAACCAAGGGAGTGGACACACAAAGCAGGAAAAGAATGCATACCAAGCTTCTCACTGCTGCTCTGGGTGTTGATAACATTTTCGAGGTGCTTTAATAGCTGTATCGTATCAGATTTATAGTCCCCACACTGCAGATATATTAGAATCTGTCCTTAAATATCAGCCAAACCCATGTACACAGGAAAAGATTAAAAAATTTAAATAAAACAAACATTACATTCTACATATCTGACTCAATAACCATTTAAAACAACTATTTTCATTAATTTCACACAGAACTATTCACATACTTGTATTAAACTGAACTTCCAATATTCACCACTGTTTGTGCCACGTACCTTTTTTCCTCTGATCACGGAGCAGCCACCTTGCTTGAAATCGCAATGAATCACGGAATATCCAAGGCTACGTAGGATACACCGGGGCCGTCCTTCAAAACGGGACAAAAAGAAGGATGCATTTGTCAGACGCATAACGAGGAGTGTTACAATCCGAACAGACCTCGACGCTGCGCTATGACATAATTGGCCCACAAATCTGGCCTTTGGAGGATGCAGCCCATGAATTCAAACTTGGCATAAATCTGTGAAAGTGAGCAGCTCTCCTTTGCTGAGATAATCCATCCCACCTCACAGGTGTGCCATATCAAGGTGCCGATTAGACACCATGATTAGTGCACAGGTGTGCAACATTAAAAAAATGGGAGCAAAACAAAAAGTGTTGCGTTTAACTGTAGTTAAAACGTAGTTTCTAGCCTTATGTGATGTCATCAGATACAGCTGCTGTGAAAGCTTGTTGGGAAACATGATGGCAAAATAACAAATGCTGACATTTCATTTTCTAGATCACAAACCTTTAAGGTAGTATCTTTTTAAAAGTACTTGTAGCAAGTAGATTCAAGTCCCTTTACGGTAGAGGAAGCACAACAGCTGAAACACCTATCAAGTGTTTTTTGACCTCACTTTTCCAGCTACTGACTTCATAAACTTGTATATTCACACTGCTGGTAATGTTATGATGCAGCTTAGGTTGCTGAACTGCTAGCCTAATATGCTAATATCCTTATATATAAAGCATGCATTTTGATCCAACTTGTTACATGTTTCTTCCCTGCTTCCAGCTCCCTTTCATTACGGTTTTCCTTTTTACAGATTTTGCCTGCTCTCTGTGTGCTAATATACCACACTGATATAAATGTAAGTATCATTGGACAATTGGGTTTAGGCTGTTTAAATTGTACAAAAAAGCTCTGTGCTCACCCAATGGGTGTTTATGTTTAGATACTAGTAGACACAGTGTGGGCTCTGTCCTATCTGACGGACGGAGGAAACGAACAGATCCAGATGGTCATCGATTCTGGAGTCGTTCCATTTCTTGTGCCTCTCCTCAGCCATCAGGAGGTGAAAGTTCAGGTAAGACGCTGCTCCCGCTGAACAGTTTAAACACTGTTTTTGTTTTGCCCTGTTAAGTAAAACAGAAGTTTTTGCTGTTTCCTTATTTTCAAACTCTAGACAGCAGCTCTGAGGGCGGTTGGAAACATTGTGACGGGAACAGATGAGCAGACCCAGGTGGTTCTGAACTGCGATGTTCTCTCACACTTCCCCAATCTGCTCACCCATCCTAAAGAAAAGATTAACAAGGTATCACTGCCACAAACTCAACGGTGCTTTCCTTCATTTCAAAATGGTTACAAACATGTATGTATCAAATGTTTTTCATCTGAAGTGAAAATTGATGAGAAAATTTTTGGAAAATTAATGTGGCCATCAGCATTTAAAGTGTTTTCGAACAAACAGAATTTGATACAAAAACTTGAATCATAGCAGAAATGAAGCCTTTTAGTGTGTGTGTGTGTGTGTGTGTGTGTGTGTGTGTGTGTGTGGAAGGCTTTGACCATTTCTGATTGGTTTATTTTACAGGAAGCTGTCTGGTTCTTGTCCAACATCACAGCTGGGAACCAGCAGCAGGTCCAAGCTGTTATCGAGGCCGGGCTAATTCCTATGATAGTCCACCAGCTGGCTAAGGTTTGGAGGAGCCCTTTCACTTATCTCTATAGATGGCATTTTGGAAAAAGTATTGTGTTTAAGAGCCATAATGTTCTGTTTTTGTATTTTCTTTTAGAAAAATAACATGATCAAATTATTAAACTGGGGTGAATGCAGCATAGATTTTTAGACTTCTCTGACAACATGCTGTGGTACTACAGCTATGTAACAGACTGGCTCTCCACAGGGTGACTTTGGCACTCAGAAGGAGGCAGCATGGGCTATCAGCAACCTCACCATTAGTGGGAGGAAAGACCAGGTGAGTCTGATTTTGATGGATATGATTAGTTTCCTTTCAAGATGGTTAATTTTCCCCATTATGGTCATATTTAATCATTTCAGGCATAAATCTTTACCAGAACATGTTACTCATTTAAAAGAAGTCTCAGTTCAGGGAAGCATTTAGGTGATACTTTGCTCTTTAAATATTATGAAGATTGTGTAAGGTTGTGTTCGACACTCAGAAGCATGTACCTGTGTTGAAATAAAAGTATGAATGTTGTGTGTATGTATGGGTTTGTGTAGGTGGAGTTCTTGGTGGAGCAGAATGTCATCCCTCCCTTCTGTAACCTGCTGTCGGTGAAGGACTCGCAGGTGGTGCAGGTCGTTCTGGACGGCCTCAAGAATATCCTCATTATGGCTGGAGATGAAGCCAGCACGATTGCTGAAATCATAGAGGAGTGTGGAGGTCTGTGTTCATCCATTTCTTTAGTGCCTTTCCATCCCTGCTTTATTCTTCCATGACAAAAAATCCACTTGGAAAACAGCCGTAGTGTAAAACGGACAACAGTAATTCTAAAGTAAAGAAGTTCCACTGCAGGATTTTACAAAATTATCTTTCATTTAAAAAGAAAAGGCTGTTTTTTGTTGGATATATCATAAATGGTAGAAGGGTGTTGGTAATAAAAGGTTATAATTAAAGTACATGCCTGAGAGACAGAAACATGATGTAAAACATGCAAACAATGAGAGGAATAAGATGGCTGCCCTTGACCTCTGATCTATTGCCTTCATGCTTTGTGTGATTAACATCAGATGCATGTGGGTGGAAACCTGTTTTGGAAGGATAGATTTTTGTCTTGGCTTTAACAACAGAGCATTGGTCACAAACTTGTATGCTGGCATATTTCACTTTTTTCTTTTCTGACCAGGGTTGGGCTTTGTTTTATTTTGAACCATTGCGATTCCTGATAGCTGTTCTACAGGTGCTGGTCATAAAATTAGAATATCATGAAAAAGTAGATTGATTTCAGTAATTCCATTTAAAAAGTGAAACTTGTATATTATATTCATACATTACATACAAACTCATATATTTCAGATGTTTATTTTGTTTAATTTTGATGATTACAAATGAAAATCTCAAATTCATCATATCAGAAAATTAGAATATTGTGAAAAGGTTCAAAATTGATGGCCCCTGGTGCCACACTCTAATCAGCTAATTAACTCAAACCACCTGCAAAAGCATTTAAATGGTCTTTCAGTCTAGTTCTATAGGCTACACAATCATGGGGAAGACTGCTGACTTGACAGTTGTCCAAAAGACGACCATCGACACCTTGCACAAGGAGGGCAAGACACAAAAGGTCATCGCTAAAGAGGCTGGCTGTTCACAGAGCTCAGTGTCCAAGCACATTAATAGAGAGGCGAAGGGAAGGAAAAGATGTGGTCGAAAAAAGTGTACAAGCAAGAGAGATAACCGCACCCTGGAGAGGATTGTGAAACAAAACCCATTCAAAAATGTGGGGGAGATTCACAAAGAGTGGACTGCAGCTGGAGTGAGTGCTTCAAGAACCACCACATACAGACGTATGAAAGACATGGGTTTCTGCTGTCGCATTCCTTGTGTCAAGCCACTCTTGAACCACAGACAGCGTCAGAAGCGTCTTGCCTGGGCTAAAGAGAAACAGGACTGGACTGCTGGTGAGTGGTCCAAAGTCATGTTCTCTGATGAAAGTAAATTTTGCATTTCCTTTGGAAATCAAGGTCCCAGAGTCTGGAGGAAAAGAAGAGAGGCACTTCATCCACGTTGCTTGAAGTCCAGTGTAAAGTTTCCACAGTCAGTGATGGTTTGGGGTGCCATGTCATCTGCTGGTGTTGGTCCATTGTGTTTTCTGAGGTCCAGGGTCAACGCAGCCACATACCAGGAAGTTTTAGAGCACTTCATGCTTCCTGCAGCTGACCAACTTTTTGGAGATGCAGATTTCATTTTCCAACAGGACTTGGCACCTGCACACAGTGCCAAAGCTACCAGTACCTGGTTGAAGGACCATGGTATCCCTGTTCTTAATTGGCCAGCAAACTCTCCTGACCTTAACCCCATAGAAAATCTATGGGGTATTGTGAAGAAGAAGATGCAATACACCAGACCCAACAATTCAGAAGAGCTAAAAGCCACTATTAGAGCAACCTGGGCTATCATAACACCTGAGCAGTGCCACAGACTGATCGACTCCATGCCACGCCGCATTGCTGCAGTAATACAGGCCAAAGGAGGCCCAACTAAATACTGAGTGCTGTACATGCTCATACTTTTCATGTTCATACTTTTCAGTTGGCCAACATTTCTATAAATCCTTTGTTTTTATTGGTCTTCAGTAATATTCTAATTTTCTGATATGATGAATTTGAGATTTTCATTTGTTGTCATTTGTAATCATCAAAATTAAACAAAATAAACATCTGAAATATATGGGTTTGTATGTAATGTATGAATATAATATACAAGTTTCACTTTTTAAATGGAATTACTGAAATCAATCTACTTTTTCATGATATTCTAATTTTATGACCAGCACCTGTAGTTTCTATCGTATCCCCATTTGGATTATTTTATTAGCAAGGGTCTTAAGGGTTTACATGAGCTAGCTTAACACTTCTGTTCAGATAAAATAATCTGAACTTCTCTATTGATTTTAATTATATGACCATTAAACATTTTATTAATGTTACTATAAATTTAAAAGGAACTTGTACTTAATACCACTTATTTACTATTTTATCTACCTAATTTGTCAGTGGTGCTGATATGAAGGTAGAAGCACCGCAAAAGGTTTAGTCTCAAGGAAGGTATGAACAGAATTAATTTCCCTGAAGTGTTTACTGCGCCTAAACTAGACATGGAAGTAGAGATTTTTTTTTTATTCTGTGCATAAAGAAACGGTGAGATTTTATACAGTGTGGGCTTCATCATAAACAAATTAAGGTTGGGCGACTGGACCAATCTATCAACGTTTGAATGAGCTCTTCAAAATGTATTTATTTTTTTAGGGTTAGCTGTTAATAATGTTACACAAAAACTCCTTCCAGCTGCAGCTTTTAACCCCAGTACCACCGTGCTGCAGCTATTTATCTACTTAAACCCGAGACGGAACCGATCCAAACCAGAGGCCAGCTTTTGATCAGCTAAACCAGAAGCGGAGAGAGTCGGTTTTATTTTAATTGTTTACAGGATGCTCCGTCTGTTACTGATTTGTTTTAATCACAACAAATAAAAAAATTAAACAAAAAAGAAGAAATAAATTCTCCTGTGAAGCTGCGTGATTTACATGAACGAATAAAATAAAATCCCTGCCCCAGTTTTCAGTCTGTTCAATTTTGCGCATTCAGATAAAGAAATGAATAAAGATTAAAAAAAAAAAAACTGTTGCATAACTGTCAGACAACTGGAAAACAGGAACCTATTCCCACTGGACATACTAATAAATTTTTTTTTTTTTTTTACAAGAAAACAAAACTAATTGGGTTTTAGTAGTGTGTTTAGCTGGTTAACAATATTAGCAGCAGTGCAGAAGATTTATTTTCTTTCTCTCTCTGTCTGCTTTTAAGGTCTGGAGAAAATAGAAAATTTGCAGCAACACGAGAATGAAGATATCTACAAATTAGCCTTCGAGATAATTGATCAGTACTTTTCGGGAGATGATGTAAGTTCTTCATCGTTCATTTATCTTTTAATTACATGTTGGCTTTAAAATCTGCTTTGACCATGTCTATCCTCTTCAGATTGATGAAGACCCAAGCTTGATCCCTGACACCACCCAAGGAGGAACCTTCAACTTTGATCCTGCTTCCAACATGCAAACAAAGGAATTCAATTTCTAAAAAGCCAGGGTGTTTGGTTCCACCAGTTGCACGGGTACCCTGACATCATCGCAGACATTCATCCATTGCCCAACAATCTGACAACCCGGTACAAAAGGATCTTTAAACTCCAGTCTCGCCTCCAACGGATTTTAACCGCAGCCACTTCTGCACTGTGGGGAGCTTTTTTCTTTTGTCCCGTTTTTTTTTTTCCCCCTTCTAGTGCAACTCTGCATAGGAGCCCTGGCTGCTTATCTGACAACCTGCATGAGGAGAAGCTGCCAGTGCTTCTATCACTCAAAGGTAAAACCAGAAGGAGGGAAAACGCAAAGCCTGCTTGGCAAGATGGAAATTGCCAAATATCAAGTCTTTACAAAGACAGAAACACAAGCACATTTTCAAATACTTCACACACACTCATTTATATATACGTGTATAGAAATGCATATATATGTATACACACTTTTTGACACTTAAGATATGTGTGCATACTTCTGTTGGAAGTCATATCACACCTGGGGAAGAAATACTGCTGTTAGTTTGTGGTTTACTTTTGTGCTTTCCCTTCCCTGGATTCTCCTGGTGTAACTCCACCCCAGCACACACACACACACTATCACAGTGTACACCTAAACACACCTGGTCACAAAATTTCCTGATGACTAGTCGCACCCCTGTTTCACCCACTTTAAAAGCGATAATCCCCAGGCTAAGCCATGATTACCACGGACCCCCTCCTCTCTGCCCTCCCAGGAGGCTCCATGGGCAGGTGGAGGTGTGAAAGGGCTCAGAGGTAAAAAGGATCAATCCGTGGCAAACCAACGGGACTTCTGTTTTTTTTGGTGTGACCTCTCTCGACATATAGGACTCTTTAAGGAAATTCATCAAATGTGAAGAAATTGCCATATTTTTTTTTCTCGCCGCATACATTTAACCTGATACTCTCCTCCTTCAGAAGAGCATTGGTGTTTTTCTCAAAGGATGTAAAGGCGGATGATGAAGGCACAGAAACTTTCAAAAAGAGGGATCGCCTCCCTCAAACACCAACATCTTACCCTTTAGCCAGTTTTCCTCTGGACTCCCCCTGAAATGTGAAAACTCAAAGGGGAGGGGGCGGGCTCATCATAAACCTAACTGAAATGTCCAGAATCCAACAATGTTATTTTTAGCTTTTTGTTTTTCAATTTTCACTTTGAATGGAAATTAATTTTACATTTCAGCTTTGGTATAATCTGTGGAAGTTTTTTATTTTTTATTTTCCTCTAGTCTTATGCACACAATTGAGGCACAGGGATGTCTGCCTGCAGAAAGGGACCTATGCTCACTGATGAAGAGTAGACTCATCCGGTGTGCAGGTTCTGATCTTTAGAGTACTGAACTCATTTTTGTTTGATTAAGAGGTCACATGTCATCACTCGATTTGAATAATTGTAAAAAAAAAAAAAAAAAGTGATGTGTATCTCTCCTTGCCGTCTGACAAATATATTCTACATAAAGCCTGTACAAAGCTGCTGCAGCAGACAGACATTGGATGGTTGACTCATCCAGATTTCTGGGGAGGTTTTTTTTTTCATGTTATTAGAAGCAATATTTTTGTTTTTATTCTTGACATGCAGATGTATTGTGATGAAATGCTGGTAAATTGGAGTAGGCCGGGTTTTTGTTTGTCTTGTTTTTAACTCTTGGCGGTGACGGCTGTTTGGAAATGTACCGTCCCACGTTCCAGTTGGTGTTTTAGACCCGGGACTAAGGTGACTAACTTTAAATCCGACCCCAGCCCCGGTCTTGTAGATGATCCACTGGTTGGCTGCTAACTTTTCAGATTATAGGCGTGGGTGTTCAGAACAGCTACTGGATCGCAGAGGGGCTTTGAATATCTGGTAGGGCTGATTAAAAACAGCCAGGACTTGTTTTTGGGACTAGCTAATTTTACTGAACAAAACTATAGAGGGTGTACAGTCATGAGCTAGCAGACTAGACCGAGCCACTTTAAAGATTTACAATTTTGTTGTCTTGTATCCGAATTGATACAAGCTTATGTTTGCAAGATTTTTACTTGCTAATAAAAAGCTGTTTTAAGTGACTAATAGAAAAAGAAGCAACAGACAGCGTTTTCGCCTCTGATTGTTTGTATCTTTTTATAAATTTTAGATTGAATTCTTCTCTTTAAGGTGGCTCATTGATGCTTTCAACTCTTGTGCATATTAAAGACAATAATGAGTTGAGAAATCATTGTGCCTTTTGTTTTTTCATTTCAACTATGAAGAGTTTTTTTCTGAAAGAATAAAAAAAAATCAAAGCAATTAGAGAATCTTGATAGAGGGGATTAAAGTGGTCTCCCTTCTGAGTTTGCCATGAAGAATGGTCAATGTTGCTAGCTGTCAAAACATTTTATTTTTTTAATCTTTACCCAATGAACCACACCATTTCTACCCTCCCCAACACCACAGACATCACTCGTCTACCATCATTGCGGTCAACAGATTTTGGTTTCCTTTCTTATCTCACCCTCAGAACATAAGTCTGTTTCTGATTCTAACCAAAATAAACTTGCTGTTTAGCCGTGTGTTCTTTGTAGCTTGCAAGTGTTTGTTTCATACATATAAGGTCATCATAACCAGGGTTCCTAACAGTTAATAAGACCTAGTGGGTAGTGGTTAACTAGGCCTCAGACTTTGAATAAGATACACTTTGGAGTTGGTCCTAACAACATGCTGCACAAGAAAACAAAATTCAAAGATGTCATGTTAATAGTCCTGACCTATATTTACTTACGCATGTAGGCTATTGGTAATGCGTCTTCCAAAATTATTCAAAATGGATGAATTTTCTTATTAAGGCAGATGTTGACAGTAATCTCTTGATTGGTAAAAAAAAATAAGGTAAATTTAGGAGAAAGATGTAGTGTGGGGAAAAGGACAAAGGCAAGTTTGTATGGCACATTCATTGGTAATAAAATTTTAATTGCTGGACATGAAAAGATGGCAGAAAAAGTACTTTATAATTAGTAAATAAATAAATAGAATAAGACATGAAAAAGTTGCAAAATTCCTCCCATATTTTCTTTAAGATTATAATGCAGAATTTCCAAAAGTGCACCTTTTAAATTATACATAGAAATGGGTCTTTATTTATTTATTTTTTTTACTCGGCCAAATCAACAGAACAGGTTTTTTTTGTATTTTAATTCCTTATACAGGTGCTGGTCATAAAATTAGAATATCATGAAAAAGTAGATTGATTTCAGTAATTCCATTTAAAAAGTGAAACTTGTATATTATATTCATACATTACATACAAACCCATATATTTCAGATGTTTATTTTGTTTAATTTTGATGATTACAAATGACAACAAATGAAAATCTCAAATTCATCATATCAGAAAATTAGAATATTACTGAAGACCAATAAAAACAAAGGATTTATAGAAATGTTGGCCAACTGAAAAGTATGAACATGAAAAGTATGAGCATGTACAGCACTCAGTATTTAGTTGGGCCTCCTTTGGCCTGTATTACTGCAGCAATGCGGCGTGGCATGGAGTCGATCAGTCTGTGGCACTGCTCAGGTGTTATGATAGCCCAGGTTGCTCTAATAGTGGCTTTTAGCTCTTCTGAATTGTTGGGTCTGGTGTATTGCATCTTCTTCTTCACAATACCCCATAGATTTTCTATGGGGTTAAGGTCAGGAGAGTTTGCTGGCCAATTAAGAACAGGGATACCATGGTCCTTCAACCAGGTACTGGTAGCTTTGGCACTGTGTGCAGGTGCCAAGTCCTGTTGGAAAATGAAATCTGCATCTCCAAAAAGTTGGTCAGCTGCAGGAAGCATGAAGTGCTCTAAAACTTCCTGGTATGTGGCTGCGTTGACCCTGGACCTCAGAAAACACAATGGACCAACACCAGCAGATGACATGGCACCCCAAACCATCACTGACTGTGGAAACTTTACACTGGACTTCAAGCAACGTGGATGAAGTGCCTCTCTTCTTTTCCTCCAGACTCTGGGACCTTGATTTCCAAAGGAAATGCAAAATTTACTTTCATCAGAGAACATGACTTTGGACCACTCACCAGCAGTCCAGTCCTGTTTCTCTTTAGCCCAGGCAAGACGCTTCTGACGCTGTCTGTGGTTCAAGAGTGGCTTGACACAAGGAATGCGACAGCAGAAACCCATGTCTTTCATACGTCTGTGTGTGGTGGTTCTTGAAGCACTCACTCCAGCTGCAGTCCACTCTTTGTGAATCTCCCCCACATTTTTGAATGGGTTTTGTTTCACAATCCTCTCCAGGGTGCGGTTATCTCTCTTGCTTGTACACTTTTTTCGACCACATCTTTTCCTTCCCTTCGCCTCTCTATTAATGTGCTTGGACACTGAGCTCTGTGAACAGCCAGCCTCTTTAGCGATGACCTTTTGTGTCTTGCCCTCCTTGTGCAAGGTGTCGATGGTCGTCTTTTGGACAACTGTCAAGTCAGCAGTCTTCCCCATGATTGTGTAGCCTATAGAACTAGACTGAAAGACCATTTAAAGGCTTTTGCAGGTGGTTTGAGTTAATTAGCTGATTAGAGTGTGGCACCAGGGGCCATCAATTTTGAACCTTTTCACAATATTCTAATTTTCTGATATGATGAATTTGAGATTTTCATTTGTTGTCATTTGTAATCATCAAAATTAAACAAAATAAACATCTGAAATATATGAGTTTGTATGTAATGTATGAATATAATATACAAGTTTCACTTTTTAAATGGAATTACTGAAATCAATCTACTTTTTCATGATATTCTAATTTTATGACCAGCACCTGTAGTTAGAATCTAAGCACTTTTTCCAATATAAAAGTTTAAAAGAAAGTTTTAGAAATCCTGATTAAAAAATATCTCAGAAGTGATGTTTTACTGTTATTTTGGCATTCAGTCCTTGGATCACACTTGAACTGGACTTCTGTGGTTTTAGAACAGGGTCTGCTGTTTGCACTAAAACTGAATTAACTTTCCAGGAATTAAAATTGCATATCAAAATACACAAAGGGCCGGATTTATCAAGATCCAATTTTGCGTGCAGTAATTTGCGCTCGCAAACTGGAATTTTGCGCGAGGGGCTGAACCATGGTTTGCGGGTGATTTAACAAGAGCGATTGCGTAACTGGTGGCAGGTGCAAAACTGTTGGAGACGCCCTATTTAAATGATGGTTTTGCGCGTTTTGTGGTTTGCGGCAAAGTAGTTTGTACAAACTAGTGCATTAAGAAATTTAAATCTTACAGTGACCCCCAACAACAACAAAAAAATAATTATATATATATATATATATATATATATATATATATATATATATATATATATATAGATAGATAGATAGATAGATAGATAGAAAAAACTTTGGCAACCTTTATTCCCTAAGGTGGTATGTGGCTGAATATGTGTGCTGCGCGTACGCATATCCGCAGCATTTGGCACGTTGCTCCACAGGCGCAGGGGGAGAACCCCGACCCCGTCGGACAGCACTTCTAAAAAAGGAGATCCCAGCTCTCGCTGCAACCGTACGCTGGAATGACCCAGATGCAAAAAAAGTGCAATGTTGCAAGGAGTTTTGTGATATCTGGTATTGCGTGGGTCCTCCTTGTGGCTGGCTCCAAATCCATTCGGAGTTCCCCCAACAGCTCCAAAATGGCAATGCTGGATAAACGATATGTTTTGATGATCGCTTCCTCGTTCATTCCAAAAATATTCAAACGGAGTGAAAAAATGCGTTCACTGCGTCTCCTTGCTTCATTTCCATGTTTCCTTCTTGCGACAATAACCGCTGCCATGTGTGCGCAATTACGCATACAGACCATTTGCACCTTCTTTTGAAACGTGTTAAATATAGAGTCAGATACCGTTAGCAAAATTGCTTTCAGGTTTAATAAATCACTTTGCGAGTGCTAAATTAATATATTTACATGTTCTCCTCCCACAAGACGCACTTTTGCGTGTAAACGCCCCATATTGCATATTCATTGCAGAAAAAGTACTAAATGGATAAGAGGCGCTATTTAGCACGTTTTAAAGACCAAATCCTTTTAGCACGCTGTTGATAGATCAGTTTGTACATTTTTTAGCGTGCGCAGTGAAATAGCTCACGTTTTTATACACGCAAACCTTTGATAGATCCGGCCCAAAGTGTTTAATTCTGGAAATGATCATCCTTCATGTTCCGGATTTAAGAGTTCATTAAACCTAGCTACATCTGGTCAACACGCTTTATATTCAATAAATGAGATAAGGTTAGTAAAATACAGAGATCTCTTTGGACTGAAATATCCTTATTTTTTTTTTAAGGGGCTCATGGGGTTTGATATTCCGGGGTTTAAGTGTTGTATCCCTCCAACAGGCTGAGTAGAAGGATGTGTGGCATTCAAAAGTTTTGTAAAATCAGTGGTATCTAAGCTGATACCTTGAAAACTTTCCAGTCACATTATGCTTTTTATTTTTAGATCCATCTGGCAGTTTGGCACATATACAGATAGAAGATGGTCGGTTCTTTGTAGATTGGCTCAAGCTGGCTTAATGAGGGGCTAAAACATTTGCCTAAGATATTCCGTTGGATATAGAAGTGAATTCATAGATGTCTTCTTTGAAACCCAGAGCCATACTAGAATATTTTCCTATTAGAATATAATTTTTAGAATTTTATTTTGGGGTATTGGGGTAAAGATGGTAAATAAAAATGCACACTACAGTTTTTAGATTATTTACCAAAGTTAGTAAAAGCAATGATGATCCTTCTAATTCAGCTATGCCATAAGGTCCTGTTAAATGCATGCTCTATTTTTGGTTTGTATCTCATCGTATACAGTTGGGCTTGAAAGTTTATGCATACAATTGAAGAAAATGATAGTCACAAAGGTAATTCAAGGAACACAAAACTGCATAAAAGTATTAAAATGAATTTTACTTTATAAACTTGATATCAAAAATAAAATATAGATTTTCTTTTATTGTTAACCTATTGCAAAAGACAAATTGTCCCTGAGAAATATGTTTCTGATGATCAGTGACCCAACATACCTGTCAACAGGTGCAGAAGTCTGACGGAACATTTCCTGAACATTACAGAAAAATACCTGATTTCAGTGATTCCCTCAAAATGTTGCTCAACAAAAATTTCATTATTATATATGAACATGTGTGTTTGTATACATACAGACACAAAATATCATGATTTTCATTTTTTATTTAGTCATTTTTTAAGCTTACTGGCAGCTTATTTTTTCTGTCTCTGTGTTTCAAGCACAACTCTATGTAGGTTTATGGGGTGTTTTTCAGGGAGCTTATACTGTATAGAAAACAGGAAGGAAGTTTGGAACTGGAGAGATCAATTCCTACAGCAGAATGTTTTCCATACTGTATTCATTCTCAAAGGGATCATCATTGTTACAATAGGAGCAAAATGACTCCATAAATAAATCTTAAAGATGAAAAGTCCCGTTATTCATTTTTAAAAAGCTATTAGGGGCCAATTAGTTTTTAAAATCTTAATTGCAATTAAAGAATAAACAAGTACAACAGCAAAATACAATGAACAAATATGCTACTATAAATAAGTATTCAGGAGAAAAATAAAATGATAAACGTGCTTAGGAGTGTCGGATATGTGTGTGTGTATATATATATATATATATATATATATATATATATATATATATATATATATATATATATATATACACACACACATATCCGACACTCCTAAGCACGTTTATATTATTCCAAACATATCATCTACCACATGAAGTTGTGGTTTTTTCAATTTTTGGTGAGTGGAGGATCGAATAATACAAAAATATTGCTTAAATTTAATTAAGTAAGTCTGACTTTTTCTTCAACCAAAGACATTATTTGTATCTTGAAAAATAACTGGCTGATGACATCACTCAACTTCAGCAGGTCATGTGTCTGAGCCCTCAGGTGACATGAAGATAAGCTCTACATTAAAGGAATAGTACACCCAAAACTTGATTAGCCTTCATTTTCTACTCACCCCCATGCTGAACAACACTCTGGAGTACTTTTTTGATATCTCAAATGCATCTGGAGATCTGGGAGGCTTCTTGCTGTCTGCTGACATTCAAATAATGGAGGTCTATGGTACCCGAGACAGAAAGGTCCATAAAAGTCCACAAAAAACGTGTCAATATTCCTCCATACTGCTCGTCCAATGTATTCCAAGTGTCCTGAGTGGGTAGCATCCAGAATTTACTCGAAACAAAGTCATTTAGAATGTTTTTAGAGCATAAACAGTAGTGTATAGGATTTCCTGAAAGCGCGCGCCCGCACGTTCACGATGCTACGGAAGCCGGCAGACCAACCAGATGAAAGTGCGCATTCAGCGTCTGCTCTGCCGATAATGCAAGCGTAGAAGAAGAAATGTGCTGTTTACCTGTGCAAAGAAAGAAACAACGAAAGAAAAATGTCTGAGGACTTCAGTGTTGAGGAAGAGCATGAGTTCTTTGCCGAGCTGAATGCGCACTTTCGTCTGGTTTGGTCTGCCACGGTTTCGCGCTTTCAGGAAATCCTATACACTACTGTTTATGCTCTAAAAACATTCTAAATGACTTCGTTTCGAGTAAATTCTGGATGCTACCCACTCAGGACACTTGGAATACATTGGACGAGCAGTATGTAGGGATATTGACACTTTTATGGACCTTTCTGTCTCGGGCACCCTAGACCTCCATTATTTGAATGTCAGCAGACAGCAAGAAGTCTCCCAGATCTCCAGATGCATTTGAGATATCAAAAAAGTACTCCAGAGTGTTGTTCAGCATGGGGGTGAGTAGAAAATGAAGGCTAATCATGTTTTGGGTGTACTATTCCTTTAATGCTTTATCTTTTGTGCAGAGAAAGCCAGTCAAATCCTCCTCTTCTACTTCTGCTCTGTCTCCAGTATCTGGCTAAACATGTCACCCTCCATAAGTTTTTTTTTGATGGTGGTCTCTTTGCATTCAGCGATTTCTATGAAGCCCGTCTATTCTTGATGGCTAGAAATGTCATAAACATACACATCTTATATGATTAAATATTAAAATAAGGAATTAATTGAACAAAAAGAACCTGAATTTTTAATTAACCTTTATGTACTGCTATCAATGCAGACCTGTTCTGTCTTGATAATCAGCCGAAAACTTAATTTCTAACACACCCTAACTAATAAAACTAAGAAATACTTATTTATAATAAAAAAATGTAATTCTGTTGAGCTATTTTAAGTGTGTTTTCTGTTGCATAAATAATTGAGTCATAAAAATGTTGTGGCGTAGCTTGATTGTTATTCTATATACCAATTTTTGTAATTAAAGTTTTATCTGTTATTTTATATGTTAATTTTATTCCAAAGTGTCATCTGAACAGTGGATGTCAACATTTATTGTCTTTTAAATGCACAGCATTTAGTGACTGGATGCTTTAGAATGAGAAAAAAAAATATAGACAACAAGAAATGAAGTTGTAAAATAAGATTAAACACTTTTTTATTAGGCGATTAAATGTATTTTCCAAAAAAGTTTTAAAAAAAATTGATTAAATGTATATTTTTAAGTAATAAATATAAATTGAAAATTAAGGAAATTGTAACTTTATAATATTGGATGCAATTTTTATTATATGTATATATATTTTATGTGGATAATTTTATTTTTCCTTATACCGTACATGCATTTTTGAGTGACTAGTCAGGCCTCTTTTTTAGCTACCCGGAAGTCGAATTCTTAGTCGATTTGTTTTTGTCTTGTGGTCACGTGACCCGTCCTCCTCCAGCCACTTCCCCAAACAAACACCAGTTGAAGCAGTTTTTTTCCCCTCTAAGCAAAACCAGCAGAGGTGTCAGCCTCTCGACATGCTGTGGCGAAGCTGTCAGATAAAACAACCTCTTCTGAAGCAAACCCATCGATGAATGATCACTCAGGTGAGCCAATCAGAGATTTTTTATTTTTTTTGGCTCCGCTGCTATTTCGTTAAACGCATAATGTTTTCCTAATCGGATGAGTCTAGCAGCAGGAGCTCCACTCTGGGATTTTGCTGACCGGTGTTCTGCTGAATAATGTGTTTGCAACAAAGGCAAACATCGACAGGCAGCGATCTGCTTTTAGCTGGTGGCACCAGTTTACAGTTTGCTGATCACAATCACACCCGCAGGTTAACCCGATCCCTATAATACGGAAGGGGATTAGGGCCACTGAAAAAAAACAAAAAAGTTAACTGATTTTTAAATTTCATTTCAGTATAATATGAGAAAAAAGAAGTTTAATCTCAGAATTCAGACTTTTTTCCTCAGAATTCAGTGATAATTCTGAGTTTAAAGTCATAATTATGAGATTAATCGCAGAAGTCTGACTTTTTTTTCTCAGAATTATGACTTTAAACTCAGAATTTTGGATCTTAATGTAAATGGGCACCATAAAGGAATGTGGGAGCACTCAACTTCACTGACAAAGATGTGAGGTGTTTGGGAGGAACAGTAACACATTGGTAATTAGAAATAAGGCAACTGCCAGAGGGCTCCCCGGTCATGCTATTTCATTATTGGAGGAGCTGTATGTGATTAAAACAAGAGAGCTAGTTTAGTCTTTAAAACAGACATGGCCACAGCTTGATGATAACATGTTTGATAGCTGAAAGAATTCAGTCAGAATTCTGAGAAAACAGTCAAAATTTCAGAACAAAAGTCAGAATTCTGAGATCAAAGTCAGAATATTAAACTGAAATAATATTTATCAATCAGATAAGTTTTTTTTTTCCGTGACCCCAATCCTCTTCCCTACTTTAACCCATTTACACAATAGAACGTGTTTTTCCATGTCTAACCCTAATCTGGATTATGACGAGTTAAACAAATGTTGAAGAAAATACGTGGTTGGAAGAGAAAGGGGATGAAATTAAAGTCAGTTTTTTTCTGAAAAAGTTTTAAAAAACAATCCACTGGACTTTGTTTCCAAGGCTTGAATACGTTTCGCTTCCCATCCAGGAAGCAAAACGTATTCAAACCTTGGAAACAAAGTCCAGTGGATTGTTTTTTAAAACTTTTTCAGAATGACTATGACCTGGATGACTGAGAATCTTCATCTGCATAAAGTCAGTATGTTCTTTTAAATCATTCTGACTCTTAGATAAGGCAAGTTGACTTATACAGCACATTCCTGCAACAGCACAGCTCAAAATGTATTTTAAAGCATGTTATACTTAGGTTATAGAGAAGGACTTTAGATTGGGATGATGTGCACTGCTTTCAGAGAGCAGCAGTGGATCAGTTGCAGCGGTCTAATTGACTTTACAGGTAGACCTGTGACATTGTTGCTTTAATCAATTCCAATAAAGATTAGCACATGGATGGGTTTTCAATTGTATTTTATCTAATATTAAAAATATACTCTCTCCAAAACAAGATGTGCAGTTATCTCCGTTGACATCCCATTAGGTTATTTCTTTTTAGAGTTCAGATGAAAGTTTGATTCTCAGTTCTATCACTTCCTGTCTTTGTTAAATTCAGAAGATTTAGCCCTTAAATATCTAAGATCAACTGCTTAACATGAGTTAAAAAAATCTCTTTTTATAATGAACTAATCATTTTATTAGCTGAATTCTCAGATCTACGAGCTGAAGACGTTTTATTGTTGTCTCCCTTTTATCTCCTCTTTCTTTCATCTTTTGTCCTTTTTCCTGTTTTTCCTTTCCTGTTCTACTTACATTGCAGTGTCTATAAATTCTGTAATGCTCCCTGTATAATTATAATAAAGCTATTTACATGCATAAATCAATCGATGGCCGTGCTGCTCCGATTGTGAAAGCAAAATCTGTGGGGCCCTTTTTGGCATCAAGACAATTATACTTATTGCCACATTGCCAGACAGGACACTAGTAAAACAAAAAATAACATCTAGAAGGTGATCAATGAGCAGGTTTAAATAAGCATTTCTTCTTTCACACACTTATTTATTTCCAAACAAACTACATGGTTCAGTCCATTTATGTATTATATGCTCTGTAAAGCCTGTAGTTTGTATATTATATAAGGGCTGCTCCGGGACACGGTGTGTAGCACTGCATTGCATCAAGAAGGTTCTGCATGAAGTTTGTATGTTCTCCCTGAGCATGCGTGGGTTCTCTCCAGGTACTCCAGCTTCCTACCACAGACCAAAAACATGACTGTTAGGTTAACTGGCTTCTCTAATTCTGCTTAGGTGTGAGAGTGTGGATGAATGGTTGTTTGTCCTGTTTGTCGCTGTGTTGCCCTGGCAACCTGCCCAGGGTGTACCCCCGCCTCTCACCCACAGGTAGAGATAGGCACAGACAACCCCGCTTGGGATAAGCGTGATGGAAAATGGATGGATTTGTATTTTATATATATATATATTCTTTATGTTTTGTTTTATTTGTTGGTACTTTTGTTGATATGTCATGATTCTGCTTGGTTGTCTCTCTGCTTCTTACTCTTGATATTCCAATGCATTTTGGTGAAAGAACTTGCCGCCAGTGCAGATAAAAGTAATGTTTCTCTTCTTGCCAACAGCCTTTAATCTGCAGTGATGTCTTTGTTTATTTAAATGCACAATAAACTGAAAGTTCACATTCATTTCATATTTTGCCCCTTTTAAGCACATATAAACAACATTGGAACCAAATAGGTCTGTCATTGTGTGTGTCTCTTTTACCACATGCACATTAAATTTAGTTGGTATCCATCTGGGATACAACCCTTAATGGATTGGAGTGAACAGTGGTCATGTAGGAAGCTAAACTGCTTCGCAAGGAAATGTTTAAAGCACAAATCAATGATCATATGTATCCAGTAAAACCTTTATTGGACAGTTATAGAGAAAGTTGCTGTATTCTGTTTGGCTTTGTAAACTTTATTCAACATTGTGGATGCAGTAAGCTGTTGGCTCATTATTTAAATTGGATTTTTAGAAACCCCTGTGTGGATAAAACACAGCAGATTATTATTACTTTTTTTCCTCTTTTATATGTATTAAAAATAACTATTTTTATTGAACTAATCAATAATCTGCATGGGCCTTGATGTACTTTGCTTTATTATTATGTGTATTTCTGTTTTTGTTCTATTTCCATCACTGCAGCAAAAGAGCCTTTTGATTTTAAAGTGGAATTGAAATAAATGTAAGAAAATCAAAATGAAAAAAACAAAAAAAAAAAAAAAAAACAAGAAAAGGTTCGACATTCATGATCTAATCAAAGTAACTGAGTTGTAAACTTTTGCATTTGCTTTTTAGCTTCACTAATACTTTTTTCTATGCCATTAATTTGATGAATGCACTGAGGCTGCACAATCATAAAATGTTTATTATGTTAAGAACAGACTGAAGAAATATTTAGCAAAATAATTTAAGATGTTCCTGTGATGAATTTAAAATGTTTGAAAAGCTCTTATCACTTCCAGACATGTTTTTGCTTGTTTTTATGCTTTTGAATGTGTTTTGTGCCAAAAGATAAAAGATTAAACAGGATGATCTTCACTCCCTTAAAGCTTTGCAATGCATACAAGCCCTTATCTCTCATGAGTTATTATGAAAACTTGTGATACAGCCTTTCTCTAACCTCCATCATGTGTGTGGGGGGGAGTGTGTGTGTGTTTGGGGTTAAACTATCCTTTTAATCTGAAAACTGATCCAAATATCAGAACAGCCAACCCTTGTAAGATTATTGTGTATTCTGCAGGATTTTGTAAATATGTTAAGGGTGAAATATCTCTGTTTGAATCTCTACAGCCTTATTTACTCAAACCAGTTAAAGAAACGCTGCAGCCCGTTGGCCTAAGTGGACGCATTATGGTGGATGTAAACAAATGGCCCATTTTCAGCTTGATGGGGCCGGAGGAGCTCTCATCAATAAGGATGGCCTGCGTGTTTGGCTCGTCTGCTAATGAGGCCATCTACATCAGCAACGACGAGGAGGTGAGAGGCCAGAGGAAACGCTTATCTGTTTAGTTATATTCCTGAGGGTTTTACAATGTCATGTCGAGTGCTTTTGCTGATTCTTTATGCACAGAACCACATTTAATGTTATTTTAACCACAGTTTTCTGATTTGTTTACCTTCTTATTAGGGCTGCAACTAACGATTATTTTGCAAATCAGTTAATCTGTTGAGTATTTTTTTTTTTTTTGAATAATCGATTAATAATCGGAAAACAAAAGATTCCTGAAAGAACACTTTTTATAAAATTAAACCACGTGAAACTAAAATGATTCCACTTGAGAAGTTCTGGATAGAGCATATTGACAGATGGAAAAAAAAAAAAAATGTTTTATATATTTTTTTTTACATTTTGGTATAATTGCTGCTTAAGGGTTGGTTAATCTGTCAACTAAAGGCATATTTTATAGTCTCTAAAGTCAAGCTAATGATTTATCGATTACTAAATCAGTTAATTATTAATAGAATAATTGATTAATCACGATTAATTGTTTCAGCCGTACTTATCCAACACATAGCTGTTTATGTACAGTCTATCACAGTTAAAAGCAGGGGAAAAACATTTTACAGGTTAGAAAATAAAATCCTAACAGTGGTGACTTTTGCGTTTTAGGTTAACATAATTCAGTTTTTTTGATAAACAGTGATTGATTAACTAGTGCTTTTAATGCTGTGCAAATACATTTAACAGGTAATTAAAAAAGGATTTGTTTTAAAAGCAAAAAAAAGTCTTACATAATTTAGAAATATTTTGGTATGTTCTTTTTACACCTCCAATGTTCACCATTATTAAAATCCATCAAGAAATATTAAACCATGCATGTATACCTTTGATCCTTTAAAAATTTAAAATCCTCTGTTTATTGTATGTTATGTCACTTCATTAGGAATAAAAAGTATGATTGAATGTCTGAAATATTAAAATCTATGAGATATCTGACTGAAACTGTACCTTATTTCTACCAGCAGTAGTTAGACATGAATAACTAAACATTAGTAAATGAAACTTATGTTCAGAAAAATCATCTGAAATTCATTTTTTATTTTTTAAATGCAGAATTTAATCAGTAATAAGTTTTTAAAAATGTTAGAAGTTTCAAATTCTTACTTTTGGTCAAACAATCCTGCTCTTATAATATGAGCTAAAGACCACTTCAGCGCCTCCTGCTGGTGCTGATATTAGGATGGAAAATTATCTGATTTGCTCGGTTTAGCTTTGTTAGGGCTCCTAGGGAGGCTTGAAAAGGAGGAAAAAAGTATGTTTTTCCCCAGACAGAGTTCCTTATTTTATTGTTTAAACATTAACATCTGAAAAAAAAATTTCTAAATAAGAAAACACTTTATGCATTAATTTATAGACGTCTTTTAGCAACATCAATACTTATTTGACTAATTCGTTGTTTCTTTTTTCTTTCATATCAGTTTAAAGTCAGATTAGAAAATATGAAAAGCAACATTTTGTCATATCCACAGCTCATTGATTCTGTAGGTCAGAGTTTTTATTTGTGCTTCTCTTGTAATTTTCTGAAAGTATTTCAAATAGAAGAAAGTTTAAAGAGACACAAAGTGTTTTGCAGAAACTCTATTTGGGATTTTAAAAACAAAGTGTACAGAAATCCTGTGAATTTTTATCTCTGTTTGGCACTTCTCCCTGATCCCCTTCACTTCTCCCATCTTATGTCCCTGCACACCCAGGTTTTCGTTTTTGGGCTGAACTGCAGTAACTGCCTGGGAACGGGGGACAGCCAGAGCACCATCGTCCCCAAAAAGCTGGACTTTCTGAGTGGCAGGAAGGTGGTGAGCCTCAGCTATGGGAGCGGACCCCACATCCTGCTGGCTACAGACGGTAGCAGCATGAAACATGTGATTCATCCCCAACTCAACCAAACATTCAGCCAATCCACTAATGTTTCCATGTTTCAGACGGGGAGCTCTATGCATGGGGGCACAATGGCTACAGCCAGCTTGGAAATGGGACGACCAATCAAGGAGTAGCTCCTGTGGTCGTTTCTGCAAACCTGCTCAACAAGAAGGTCACAGAGGTGGCTTGTGGCTCCCACCACTCCATGGCCTTAACCGACTCAGGAGAGGTAGGTTTACTGTAATATAATGCTTTTTGACCTATTGCAACATTTCAGGCTTCAAACATAAAGATATACAATTTTAATTTTTTGTGAAGAATGAACAAGTGGGATAAAAATCATAAAGTGAAACAAAATTTATTGGATATTTTAAACTTTTTAACAAATAAAAACAGAAACAATTGGGTGTGTAAAATTATACAGCCCCTTGAGTTAATACTTTATAGCGCCACCTTTTGCTGTGATTACAGCTGCAAGTTTCTTGGGGTATGTCTATCAGTTTTGCACATAGAGAGACTGAACTTTTTACCCGTTCTTCCTTAGAAAACAGCTGGAGCTCAGTGAGGTTAGATGGACAGAGTTTATGAACAGCAGTTCTTTCCAGAGAGCCAGTCTAATTCCTGGATATGTTTATTTGTCAACTATTCCACTGTAGATTTTGCTTTATGTTTTGGATCATTGTCTTGTTGGAAGATAAATCACCGTCTCAGTCTTAAGTCTTTTGCAGACTCCAACAGGCTTTCTTCCAGAATGCTCCAGTATTTGGTTCCATCTTCCAATCAGTTTTAACCATCTCCACTGTCCCCGCTGAAGAAAAGCAGAACCAAGCCATGATGCTGCCACCACCACTTTTGACAGTGCAGTGGTGCTTTCAGGGTCATAAACTGATTTGCTTTTACATTAAAGCATTATTGCCAAAAAGCTGGATTTTAGTTTCATCTGACCAGAGCAACGTCTTCAAACAACAAGGCTTTTTATGGCTCTCTTTAAAAATGGCTTTCTTCTATTAAGGCTATATTTGTGCAGTATGCCACTGTTGTCGTATGGACAGTCTCCCACCTCAGCTGTAGATCTTGGCAGCATCTATGATTAGTCTTCTCCTTGTTTGAGCTAAAGGTTTAGCAGGCATCCCCAAAGTTGGTCCTCGAGGGCTGCTGTCCTGCAGGTTTTAGAGGTTTCTCTGCTCCAGCACAGCTGATTTTCATCGATAGATTATAAACAGGCTTTTGCTAAACTGCAATCATCATAATCAGCTGTGCTAAAGCAGAGAAACCTCTAAAACCTGCAGGACAGCGGGCCTTGAGGACCACCTTTTTGGATGCCTGGTTTAGAGCGATGACCGGGTCTACATAGATTAGCTGTGGTCTCAAACTCCTGCCTTTTCAATATTTCTGCTTGCACGATGCTCCTAGTGATGTTTAAAGCTTGGACAATATTTGTGTATCAAATACAGCATCAAACTTCTACACAACAGTATCTCAGACCTGCCTGGTGTGTTCCTTGTTCTTCATGATGTGAGACGATCACAGAGCAGGTGCATTTATACGGAGACTTCATTAAACACAGTTGGATTGTATTTCTCTTTATCAGTCATTTAGGTAAACATTGGATCACGCAGAGATCCTCACTGAACTTCTGGAGAGAGTTTACTGCAATGAAAGTAAAGGGGATGATTCATTTTTCGCGCCCCACTCTTTAGTTTTTATTTGTTAATGTTTAAAATATCCAATACTTTTTGTCCCCGTTGTTGTTGATTCCTCACAAAAAATAGAAAAAATTGCCTCTATGTTTGAAGTCTGAAATGTGGCAAAGATTTAAAAGGTTCAAGGGGGCTGAATACTTTCAAAAGGTACTGTAAACCACAAAAATGTTTCCATCTTCCTTGATAGGTTTCTGAATGTTGGCAGAGAGCAGAATAGAAGCTGCTTTCAGACTTTTCTGTTGGTACAGGACACTCAGCTTTGTTCAGAGGGAGTGTGAAGCAGAAACCAAAGTCCAGTCACAATTAATCCCCTCTGAGTTGAAACCAGAGGGAAAAGCTTAATGTGCTGAGCTAAACTTGGCAAAATTATTAAGCTGACATGGGAATAAAACAAAGAGGACTTGTCAGAAGTAAGGGTCATACAAACATATCCACACGTCTTGAAGTTTCCCCTATACAATTACAAACTTAGTCTAACTTTCATTATATATGTATATAGTGAAAGTGCTTATTTATAGAGATGTAGCTTATTACTGATAGTTTATATCATAGCTATATTTAAAAATTATAATTATCAACAGTTTCACAGCCACTGTGATATTAGTAGATTTTAATCCGAATTAGCACGGTGTTAAATGTGTCTTAAAGAATGAGACTGTGCTATCCTATCAGTATCCATGTGTGCACATGCATGTCTAATAATATCTATGGCTGTATCCGAACGTCCGCCCTAATCTCTTTATAGAGTACTCTATAGCGGTTACGCCATTTTCTAGTGGGTGAAACACTAGTGGTCTCAAAATTTCCCACACTGCACCTGAAATGTATTGTGCAACCATGGTCACTAGACGAGCAGCATTTTCATCAAAAGCTTAATTTTGCCTGAAATGGACATGTCCATGTTTAGAAGAATGAATGTAGTCTATTCATTCTGACATGAGCTGTCAATTCAATCAACTTTTTCAAAGTCTTTTAAAATATTTGCATGGTTTTAAAATCGTTCATTATTTATATCCAGCTGTTCCAGAAGATGAATGCTGCAGTATGTAAACAATAATTTGACAGATAAAATTAATCGGCTTAATTATTTATTATAATGATCATCAACCAATTTAGTAATTGAGTAATCGATAACTGGAGTCTACAGACTTAACACATGCCATTTGCTTAAAAAGCAACCCACTCAAACCAATAATTATCCTGAAATTGAAAAAAAAAAATAGATAAACAGTTTGCATTTTAAAACATTTTTGTCTGTGATTGAGCTCTGTCCATATTCTGTTCAAGTGGCATAGTTTTAGCTTCAACTGATTAAAAACTGACCGTCTGAAATGATCAGTCAGGCAAAGAGAGCATTAATTGGAGAAGAGGTACATGGTAACGCTGGAGCGGCTGCAGGGGAGAGTCTGACTATTGGAAGAACCACAGGACGAAAGCAAAGTTAAACTAGAGCAATTAGAAGTCATGTGTGCAACAAGCCCCATAGGAGACTGAAAAAGAAGACTGAGTCCAGAATTAAAGAATTAAGACTTGTTGCCTTTATTTTTATTACTTTTATAGCATTTAATAAATAGTTCCCCTCAACATGATCTTCTTGTCCTCTAGGTGTATGCGTGGGGCTACAATAACTGTGGTCAGGTGGGCTCCGGCTCAACAGCAAACCAGCCTACACCTCGCAGAGTCTCCAGCTGCCTGCAGAACAAGCTGGCCATCAGCATCGTCTGTGGTCAGACCTCGTCTCTGGCCTTGGTGGACAACGGAGAGGTGACCGTTTGGGTTTATAGTCAGAGCCGATGCTGGCCGGCTCTGACCCAGATCTGACGTGTTATTTTTCCATTTCTCTGCAGGTGTATGGGTGGGGCTACAATGGGAACGGGCAACTTGGACTTGGTAACAACGGAAACCAGCTCACTCCCTGTCGACTTGTAGGTCTGCAAGGTGTATGTGTGCAACAGGTGAGAGATCTGTCACTTGGGTGAACCTCCTAGTAGCTAAGCTTTTTAACATGTTGTCACCACAAACAGTTATTGTTTTTTATTACAATTTCTTGCAAAAGAGCAACATAAATTAGTCAAAAGTAAAATGATTAATAGTTTCCAGGGGTGTTAGAAATTAGTAGGGGCATTTGTAATCACTCTCACCAGGTCACTATAATCACCACAAATCTTTTGGTGCAAATTTCTACCAGCTTTACACAACTAGACTAACATTGTTGTTTGTCTTTTATAAAATAACGCAAGCTTATGCAGATTAGAAGGAGTGCATCTGTAAACATGACTTTCTTTTTGTTTTAAGGTATTTTTTATTGAACTTTCACAAAATATACAATGAAAAATTTGTCAAAATTGAATACAGTTAAAAGTTTTTTCTCCCCCAAGAAAGATTCTGAAAAGTAAAAAAAAAAAAAAAAAAAAAAAAAAAAAAAGGATGTAGCTAACCACTGAGAATAGCATACAAAGAATATAAACAAAACCAGGTCTTAGTCATACAGCTACATTAACTATTGTTATTCCAGTTATTATTCTTATTTTTACTGTTACTTTTAGTACTATTGTTAAGATACCTATTACTACTGCTATCATTGGTGTTAGTATTTTTATCATGATTACTATTTAGTATTGCTATTATTATCCTTCCTGTTATTACTAATACTACCATTACTATAAATGTTCGTACAAAAATCTATATCTACTACTTTTATTGTTGCTTTAAAATGACCCATAGTAATGTAAAAACAGCCTATTAATCCATTTAAACTAATTAAACCAGCTAATACACTGCTTAAGGAATAAAAGAAACATTTTTAATTCTAGATCAGAACTAATTTGACCTCCATACAGATCTCTACTACAAAGTAAACTGGCCCTCACTTTCTGCCCAATGCCTCACTCACTGGTATGTCTTAATTTATAAAACAATTATTGGTGCTCTTCATTTATATTTGACACATCTTTTTAAAAGAAATCAAGAAAGTTCTAATCTCCGATCTATGGACGTCCTACAATTTGCTGTCCCCAAAGTACGAAAAGAAATGCGCAAGAAAAGTTTTCAGCTCCCAATGCCTGGAACAAATTACATTCTAAACTTCACATTCAAGCCCCTGTGATGCTGAAAGAAATTTAAAATCCTTGTTAAATCCCTGTAACTAATCATGTCTGTATGTAAATGTTTTAGGTTGGCGTTTCTGCAGAGTTTTAATGCTTTGAATTAGTTTGATATGTTATTTAATGTGTTTTAAAAAAAAACATTTTTGTGTTTTATATTTTGTAACTTATATGCTGCTCTCCTCTCGGCCTGGTCTCTCTTGCAAAAAGAGAATAATAATCTGCCGCTAACTACAGTATTGGTCTCTCATCTTTATTTTTTTGTTGTTTTTTTTCCCATACCTGATATTGTTTTCCCCAGATCGTCTCCGGCTATGCTCACTCGCTGGCGCTGACAGACGAGGGTTTACTTTATGCTTGGGGTGCTAACACTTATGGGCAGCTGGGCACAGGGAACAAGAGCAACCAGCTGAGCCCAGTTCAGATCCTGCCGGAGAAGGAGAGGTCAGCGAGTCTCCCAGCTCTCTTTAGATATGATTCCTGCTGCCTCTGCGCTGCCTGACTGCTTTGTTTCTTTACAGAATCGTGGAGGTCGCCGCCTGTCACTCCACTCACACGTCTGCTGCTAAGACCCAGAGTGGTCAGGTGTACATGTGGGGCCAGTGCCGGGGTCAGTCCATCGTGCTGCCCCACCTCACCCACTTCTCTTGCACAGATGACGTCTTTGCATGCTTCGCTACGCCCTCCGTAATGTGGCGCCCTCTTTCCATGGGTAAGACAGGAAACTAACGCACTAAGTGTTTAGGTTTTCATTGCCCTATAGCCAGGCAGCTGATCGCCAATGTTTGAGTAGTTTTGATCCATTTAGACATTGCAGTAGTTTGTCCATGCTGTGTTCATGGAGCTGGGTACAGGAGGCCTCTTTGCAGTTGCTCAACCTGGAGATGTTTTCAGGCCAAAGTTCTAGGTTTACTCCAGCATATCCTTCAAGACTGGCATCTTAATCCTATACCTAAAGTAAATCGACCTAAAGTACTATTTAACTTAGCTGTAGTATCCAGGATCACCAGAGGTGAGTCCGACTCAAGATGGACAAGTTTTACTGTGAGCTCAGTGGTTTCAGTTCTTTCTTTTCTATGAAAAAGAAGCAGCTCAGGATTAAGGAGAGGAGTTTAGGAGATGTTTACCAGCATTTTGCATCCTCCTCTGATCCAAGCCTGTATTCCAGGTTATAGCATCAGATTTATTTCTGATAACCTATAAGCTGTTGAGACATGCCACTCTGACGCATGTTGTTTATTTGATCCATTGACTCATGTTGGCCTGTTTCCATTAATTACGGTGCTTTGGAATGAAAACTCAACATAGCAGCTGCAGTCAAAGCGTCGCCTTCTATCAACATAAATGTTATTGTTATCAAGTTTAGCTCCTAGAAGTTGTTGCAATATTTTCTTTCGATGCACAACTTTTATAAGGATCTGAAACCAAAAAAAGTTGATAAATGGAATTTACTCGTTTACTTTGCAGCATCCGGGCATTAGAAAATAAATGTGAACAGAAACTAAAACAGAAATCTTGTAATTTTTATAAATTGCGTATAAAAGATAAGAAAAATTTGTGACATTAAATCAAAATCATATTAGATCATTACATGAGAATAAATATCCGTATTTGCAAAATGCTAAATGAAATAAGTTTGATCACTTTTAGAAAAGTCAGGAAGGGAAATGTTTGCTTGTAGAAGTTCCTGATCACTGAAGGTGATCAGTTCACATTATCTTAGTAGAAACACAGTGAATGTGAGATTTAACGTGTTTTGGAGCAAAAGGTTACCCTTAAACGCAGAAAAAATTAACCATTTGCAAAAAAATCAACAAAATGTTAGGTTACAGTTTGCAAATCCACTCAGGAACATGGCCTTCATTTTTGTAGACACGACTTGCGATCAAACAAAGTTGGATTGATCATGATATCTCCATCTCAACTAATGGAAGTAAAAACAGGAAGCTTTCATTCCTAAGAAGACCATCCCAACAGTAAAGTATGAGGGTGGCAGCATCATGTTGCATATAGAATGTTTCATGAGGAAAGAACGTTATCTACTAATATTGGAACAGCAGAGATCAACTGGGAAGGCATCGTTTGGCAATAAATGAGGCGACAACAGGGACAGCGACCTTTTAATGATAAAAGGAAACAATTTCCTTTTATGATTAAAATGATTAAGATGATCCTGAAATAGATTTCCTGCCCCACATAGAGAAGAACAATCTATATTTTCCTATAGTGTTGGTAAACTTGTGGTTTCAAGTGTATTGGTGGTGATTTTCTCCCTTCAGAGCATGATGACTTTCTAACTGTGGCTCAGGCTCTAAAGAGGGAGTTTGATAACCCAGAGACAGCCGACCTTAAGTTCTGCGTTGACGGCAAATACATCTATGTCCACAAAGCAGTGCTGAAAATCCGGTCAGAAACCCTAACCCTCCCAGACGTCTCTTCCACTTAAATCCTGCATAAAAGTATCACTGAGCTGTTTTCTGCCACTCAGGTGCGAACACTTCCGGTCGATGTTCCAGTCCCATTGGAACGAAGACCTGAAGGAGGTGATTGAAATAGACCAGTTCTCCTACCCCGTCTATCGCTCCTTCCTCCAGTTCCTCTACACAGACAACGTGGAGCTGCCTCCTGAAGATGCCATCGGTCAGACACTGACACACACACCCCCATACACACACACACACAGCAGCCTGGTTTGTTTGTGTCGTCACTAAGCGCTCATCCTGCCTGTGGCTGTTGCTCCCTCAGGGCTACTGGATCTGGCCACATCTTACTGTGAGAACCGCCTCAAGCGTCTGTGTCAGCATATCATCAAGAGGGGAATCACAGTGGAGAACGCCTTCTCTCTGCTGTCTGCTGCTGTACGCTACGACGCCGAGGTGAGTCTTCCTCAGCCTTCAAAGTCTGTTCTTTATAAAGGAGAGCTTTGTTAAGCCTCACATAGGAAGCTGCAGTATCAAAGGTTAGCCTAATAAGATGCATGAGGTGTTCCAATAAAAATCTTAATTTATTTCCACTTCTTTCCTTTCCCATTCTGTCTCAATCTTTCATTTTTTTTCCCAGCCTGGCTCCATACCTCCCTTGGATCTGTCCATCCTTTCATTCTTATTCTAATTCTTAGCTCTTTCTTTGCTCCAGTGCTTTTCGTCTTTCCTTTCTTCCTCCTTTCCTCTTACCGTCTCTCCTTGTCTTTGTTTTTCTTCTATTTCTTTCCTTGCCTTTGTTCTTTCTACTCTTGTCTCTTTTCTTTCCATCATTTCCTGCCTTCAAACCGTCCCTCTTCTTTTATCATTCCTTATCTTCCATCCCCTCTGTCATTTTCCATAAAAATTTCAGGTAACCTTGGCGTCCTGTTTTTTATTGCCACGTGACAAATGCAGAAAAATCCAACATTTAAAGAACACCTTTATTCTGTGAAATAAAATTCCCTTTTTTTTTTTTTTTTTACAAAAATCAATAAAAGATCCAAACATCATCCATTCAGCCACATGATTTCTACTTCAAAGCATCCTGATATCTTATACAGTTAGTTGTGCACTTAATATAGCCCCACAGCATCATAGATCCTCCACCATACTTCACAGTGAGGCTGAGATGTTTTTCAGGTTATTTCTTTTCTTCATCTCATCCTAAAAGAGCGTCTGTTTCCATTTCAAGTCTCCAAAGCGTTTAGCAGCTGTGATAGGAGGACTCCAGCATGTAACTCTTTGCATAATTTACATCATTTTAACTTTTGTTGTTTTAAACCCTTGTAACCCCAGTTTGAAATATTCTGCCTTGGCAGATATTTTATTTTATTTTTTCAGCTTTTTTTCCTCCTTTTTTTTTTGCATGTTCTGTTATGTTTGGAGAGTGATTTCTATAAATTGTACTTTCAGTCATGTCAGAAGAATAAAAAAATTTAACTGTAGATCGTAACTTTATTCCTTAAAAGTTCAAAAAATATCCACTGGCTTGGTTTCCAAGATTTGAAGACGTTTTGCCACCTCTCCAGGACGCTTTCTCAATTCAAGACGTAACAATCGTAACTTTAATGCTTATTGACTCACTTGAAAAACATATTTATAGTTAAAAAACATAACACAAAAACATAAACACTCTGGCCTACTGTAATAAAGGTGAGATTATTTTAAACCGTTTTCCCCGCTTTACCACCGCAATAGGTAAATATGGATGGAGCTGTAACAAAAAAGGGCTATTTCTCAAATGGTTATTTATATATATTAGTTTTTAACAAACAACACAGCTTCATCATGAAGTTAAAGTCCACCATAAGGGTTATTTATATCCATGATGCTGTTCGGTTATTTTGTAAAAAAAAAAACCCCAAAAAACTATATCAAAAATGAGCTTTTCCATCACACTTATTTAATATATCTTAAACTTAGACAAATTTTATTTGTAATTTTGTTCACACAAGTGTAAAACAAAAAGATATTTCGTTTGGAGCAGCTCTCTGGACAATTTCATATTTTTTCTTTCTTTAGGCTTCTGTGTAAACATCAAAATAACTATTCAAGCAGAATTGTTTTTCCCTGAGTTTAAAGCTGTACTTCTGTTGAGGCAAATGGAAAAGTTGATCCAGATACTGTAAAAGTAAAGCATCATCAGGGGGGTTGGTAAATATTTTGCAGTACAAAGGCAAACTGCCAGTTTGTCCTCACTTGGCCGGTATTTGTTGACAGATCCAGGCTGTTTAGTCACTTCCTGTTTATTTTCTGGGGTGAGCTGATGACTATAATGTCTGTCATCCGTGTTTTATTTCTGCCCGTTATCTTTCCTGTTAAGTAAAAAAAAAACAGTAATTTGTTTTGATTTGATAACATTCAGATAGACGAGTCACTTTTTATTTATTGTTTGACCAAAACTGCCTTAGTTGATTATCTTTCTTCTGTTTAGGACCTGGAGGAGTTCTGCTTCAAGTTCTGTGTAAACCACCTGACTGAGGTGACCCAGACGGCTGCTTTCTGGCAGATCGACGGCAATTTGCTTAAAGATTTTATATGTCGAGCAAGTCGATGTGGAGCCTTCAGAAACTAAACCTGGACTGCAGGAAGTGATGGGAGCACATGCAGAGAGGAGCTTCCTGCAAACCATCAAATCCAGTCAGTCTCTATCCATGGTGGAATAGTTCAGGGTCCCTCAATTCCAGTCCTCCGGGACCAGAACTGAGGAACCATGGTCTGGTTTGAGAGGAATCGTTAGCCAGAATTTGTGCGTCAGCAGTAACCTTGATAGGTGGTGTCTGAATAGCGCTGGCAGAGAGGAAGGAGGCAGGAAGAGTCGGAAGCTTCCTATTATGGTTCCTTCAGGATAGGGAGCTTTTGAGGTCCCTCACTGGCTTTAAGGAGGTATTAGGAATCCCACCATACTTAGTGTGAAAGGACGTAGGCACAGACCACCCCAGATGAGTTTGTATGACACATCCAGATGTACACCATCATATTTTGGTTTTCATTTGTAGTTCTTTTTCGGAATGCTGTATTCCCAGACTGACAAGCATCGTACATGTGGGATTCCATCATGTATGGATGTCCAGAAGGCTAAAAGGCACAGCAGTTCACAGGCTCCTTTCCGATCCACAATTCTTACTGTTTACTTCAGGGATGGTGAAGGAACAGAAGCCAGGAGCTGTAACTAAACCGTTTCACACAGAGTCAAAGAATCTCTGCACAGAGTAAAACATCCCTTCCTGATCACTGAATTCAGCTTTGAGTTCCTCTGCCTGAACCGGAGCGTGCATAAACTTTATTTTTGCACATTGAGCAGCAGCTGGTTACTCATATTGCCTTGCTTTTTATATTTTTTACACATATTGTATAAGGCATCAGCAAGTGCTATTGCTTATATGCTTTATGTTTAACTTATAAGACACAAATTAACTAAATTATCAGGTCATTATTTTAGTGAACTGATCAAAGCTTCCCTTATTTAACATGATTGTGCTGCTGTCAGTGAAAGGTTTGCAAGTCTAGACTTTGCACGTGAGGATAAGAAGTTACAATTTTAGATAAAACAGAAATCTGACTGAAAACTAGGAAATATTGAATGTCGGTGCATAAATCTTTATTGGTCAACATCACTGAAGGAACCCAGGTTGAGATGCTGGTTCTTAATCAATCATTTTGATTTATAGTGTTAAATAATTACTCGTATGCGTAGTTCCACCTACCAAACGTAAAATAAAAGTGTTTATTGCTTTATGGTTGACAGTTGCTGATGTTAGATTTTTTTATTCCTAAAATTTCTATATATGCTGATGAATAAATCAAACAGTATTATAGTTTCTTATTTGTTTTGAGTAAAATGAACTATAGTTCTCATTTATTTGCAGGACATTAAAAATAAATATGTGCCAGTAAAACATTTTGCTCTCGTATGAATAAAACAATTTCTTTCTGGTTTTCTGCAAATAATGTGTCATTAATATTTGTCATTAATATTCACCACGTTTCTCAAAAAAAAAAATCGGACTGAAATATTTTCATACTTTATTTAAGTCGACATCAGTTGGTGGAGTGGTTCCTCTATCTTTGCTATGACAAAATACTCCATCAATGTACGGTAGTTAAGGTAAGAGTTTCCTTGTCTCTCGGTATAAATTACAACTTCAAGAATCCAAGTATGAAATTTTAAACTGGAAACTAAATCAACTGTATTTCATTAGTAGACTAAACTTAACATAATACCAGATTTTTCTAGGCATCTCTTCTTGTTCTGCAAAAAGTAATTAAAGTCTGAAGGATGTAAGTATTAAGCATAAAGAACTACCCTCGCAGGTCCCCTTAATCGTAAACCAGTGTCAGTCAGACATTAAGATACATTTTCTCTAAAGGCCTCAGTTTTTTTTTACAGTAGTGACCAAAAAACATCAGGCCTAACAACAGAACAACAAACCAACCAAGCACAGACTAAGCAATATTCCAAGCTATCGCCACTGCTCTGTGTTAATGATTTTTACAACAGGGGGATTGGTATAGCCTTGTGAGACCATCCTGATCTTGCGTGCTTTCAAGATTTCACTCGCTAAATCCATTTGGCGGAGTCAGGTTAGAATTGGTAACCATCATATCCACAGATTATGAACAGAAACTCATGGATTAATTATTTCCTGGAATCAGAAAATACCAAAAATGACACCTTCTCAGTGAATGTGAGCACATTTTAAAGAGATGACTTTTCCCTCTGAAAAGAAAAAAACATAAAAAAAATAAAACCCAAAGTTCTCTCATCTCAAGGTTCTGATCAAAAGAGATGTTCCACTTTGCTTTGGTTTTCTTTTTCTTCGCTGATTGATGGAGCAGCTACTAAAGTCTCTGAATCAGGAAGGAATTAAAGTCAACATCTATGGAACAACAGAAAGGTAAAGTATGAAGGTTTGTCTTTCCAGTGAGCTTTGTTGTGTTGCCTCTACAAAACGTAAAAAACATCCCCTTTGCTATGCTAAGTGGCTTAATGGAACTTATTTTTATAGAATCTTAATAAGAAAGCCAAGTTATTTGTGGAAAATCTCTTAAGCAGGATGTTTTTAGCATTTGTTGACACCAAGTTATAAATCAGTAATGCTTTTAACGGATGCCCTGAATGTGGACAGATTTGGTTGTCCACCAAAACCTACAGGTTTTGGGAAGCAGAGCACGTTTCTAATTGATTCAAAGGAGCCGAATATACGTCTGAACAAAACATACATTTTTAATGTTACTTTCGTTTTAATCAAACAAGGTACAAATGGTCTTTCAATTTTAAAACAGTGCATTTTTTTTCTGTAAAGACCCATGCTGCTGTAACGCATGAGAAAATATATATATTAGAACTTAAAAAGCTAAAGGAAGGACTTCACAGAAAAGTGTTTGTGCAAATAAAGTAATATTTTTCTTAAAATGCCTCTTATACTAGTTTGTGTTGAACATGTTGGATATAAAACCCAATTGTAAAATGTTGCAATAAAAAACCCCCACCAATTTTACTTTAGAATTTAATTTAAAAAAACAGACTATTCATAATCGAACAATCATCATGAACGTGCGAGTGTAAACAGACTTGGCTCTCCTAAAAACAGTGTCATTAAACCATTTGTAAACACAGTGGGTGCATGTTTGAACAATGATTAACGTGAACACTCCTGCTACATCGAACCACTTTTAACATTGAAGAAAAATACAAAAGCATTAAAATACATCAAAGTGAAAACATAACAAATTTTTCATTAAAACAGGACCACTGATAACAGCTGGAGACCAGCAGCTGGAATCATTTCTGCAGAGCCGAGACGACGTCCTTCAGAGCCGCTGACGCCCTCTGCAGCTCCAATCGTCTCCTTTCCAGTTCTGAAATCAGTTATCAGGTAAAATTCAAAACCTTTTAAGTGAGGGAAAAAAAAAAACTTACTTATCGTCTTACTGAGAGAAAAGTGTACCAAAACCTTAATTTTTTTGTGAGCACAAATATGCAGGATAAGGATACCTTGTTCCTATAAACCTCAAGCTTAACAAATTTAACAATAAAACTGAATAAAATCAAATTATTCTCAGAAAAGGAGGGAATATTCTCTTTCCCCTATGCTTAAGCTCTTAAAACCCACCGCAGACCTTAAAGTTGAGGTAATAATTCAGAATGCATAAAAATTCCACCGGTAAAATTTTTACCAGCAGGGGGAGCCATTGTGCGCAGCTCCAAGCTGACACCAAAAGTTCCAAACCCCTGAAATTTTCTGAATGTGCGGTTGACATGATGTAGAACAAACATAATACAATAAAACCTGCCTTTTCTCAAGAATATCTTTATTACTGCTGTTCAAAAAATACCTATCATTTCTGAGAATAAAAAAACGACAACTTTGAGTCATGTTTGAACTAGGGCTGCAACAACGAATCGATAAAATCGATAAAAATCGACTTTTAAAAGGCTTGGCAACAAATTTCATCATCGATTAGTTGTGTCGCGCGATTAATGCGTCATCCACCGCTGCCACTTGATTGAAACGGGAAAAAAAAAAAAAAAAGAGCTGCGGCGCTGGCTCGCAGGTGAGCCAGCGCCGCAGGTGAGCAAAGGCTGTTTTCAAAAGGCAGGTAACGTAAACTGTTCTAATGACAGATGCTGCAAACGCAAGCTGCGTCTCAATAGAGGGTTTTCAGTGACGTCACTGGCCAGCTTCCGGTCCGCCATCTTGGGTGGCATATTATCATATATCATATATATCATGTCGCGAATGGATAAGTACGCCAGCACGCTAGAGCCACCAGATCATGGAACATATCTGAGGAAATGTTCCGTGATTGACCATATGGACCCCTATGCCCTCCACGGCGCCTTGTTTAGCACTAATCCAGATGATTGGCCAAATGTAGAGCACGGTGACATAGTTCATTACCCGGTGTTCAGTGAAAACCCTCTGCACACTCTTGAGGAAATGAGAGCGTACAAGGGTCTAGAGACTCACAACCAGTTCACATCTGGTTGGGTACGAGATGTCGAAGTGATGTACATGAAGGAAATCGCCATCATACGTGGACGGGTGAGTTTTAATAAGATGGTAAAAATGTAAACAATCCGACGCAGGGCTCGCTATGCTAGGTGGCTGGCCGGCGGTGCGCGAACAGTTCCAAAGCTACAAGTCCTTGGAGTCTCATGTGCAGTTTACGAATGAATGGGTTCAGGAGCTGCAGCTCATAAAGCCAGCAAACAGTGCTAACCGTTAGTGCTAACAACCACTCAGGCATGTAATGTACTTTTAACTAGCTGCAATGTGTTTTAAAGGTTTGGTTAGTAACGTTTACTGCCAAACCTCCCTAAACCCTCCGGGTTTTTCACATATTTGAGCCTTTTCCCGCTGGTTGAAGTCAAGTTACGGTGAAATTAATCAAATTAAAACATGGCTGAGAGAGGGAGTCCAGTACGCGGTAGTCATAGGCAGTAGTCTGAGTAGCGGCGGCGGAGGCAGTCAACATTGCGGCCACGGAAAGTAATACGTCATGACGCCCAAGCCCTATTATTAATATATTCTTACATGTTTTAAATGCTTGACAGTTAATTACCTGTGACAAAGTGAGCACTGCAGACTTTGGCGTATTCCAGCTTAACACCGTCCAAATCAGACCTGGATATCCGTGTCAGCCATAGGTGACGGCGTTGTTCAGATAGCTGTTTTTTTCCCCACTTTGATTCACAATTACGGCTGGTATGCGATAGAAAGAGCGTTGATCTCCACCTCCACGGGCCGTGCAACCAACAATTACACACGTTTTCACCATTTTTCACTGTCAATACTGCCTAAGGCTGCCACCCAATATGGCGGACGCGCTGAGTAGTCACGTGAGTGTGACGTCACCTGAAAAACCCCTATTCGCAGACAGCCTGCGCTTTGTAAAGCGAAAAAAAGTCGTAACATGCAACTTTTGTAAAAACAAATTAACATGGCATGGAAGCACCACTGTTATAATGCAGCACCTGAAAAGAAAACACGTTGGAGCCTTCAATGGCAGTGAAGAGAGCTCATCAGCAGGATGAGTAACCATGTTTGTTTCGTTTTAAAGTGGGGAAACGTAACGTTAGTTTCTCCCATTGTTTGAACCCCTTAGGGGCTTTTAAAAACAAAAATGTCTATTTTTGCGCTTTATGAAACAAAGTACCCTATATTTTGTGGATGTACAGCTACATTTCTCATGTAAGTTTGCGTAGTTTTAACACAAACATTTATTTTTCATATTGCACCAGGACAGTTAATGAGCAACCTGTACTTGTGTGCTTGTTTGTTCTGTCTAAAATGTTTCTTTTGGAATAAAGAGGTTAATATAAAAAATATTTTTTTGTCCGATTCATCGATTAATCGAAAAAATAATCGGCCGATTCATCGATTTTTTAAATAATCGTTAGTTGCAGCCCTAGTTTGAACTGATGCAGGTTGGTCTGTGTTCTACTCACTCAATTTTAATTTATATATTAGGAAACTAGAGGGTGTTAGCTTTCAAATAATGTATTGCACATGTAATTTGGGCGTACAGTTCCTAATTTATTTGCTTTTCCATTTGGGTATGCAAAATAGGTGAGGATTACCCAAAATGAGGTGGATGTTAATAGGTTAACAGAATAGCAGGGCTGTAGTTTGATGGAATGTATTTATATAAATTAGAATAAAAAGCCCCAAAGGCAAAAAAAAAAAAAGTTGAAAACCACTGGAATCTTTTCTTTTTTTTTTTTTTTTTATCATTCTTGTTAATAATTAAAATTTGAAATGAGCTAAGCTCTCTGTAAACAAAGTAGGATGAGATGAAGGCCTGCAGGCAAAGTTTTAATGGTGAGATGTCGCATGAAGAAGCCAAAGAAGCGTTTTTTTCTCCAAGAAGCTTAATTAAAGAGATTGTTAGATCCAACCTGTAAGAACTTTTTAGGGGCGAACTCTTATCATTCTGGTTTTGATGATTTTGTATTTAACTCCACAAAACACTGCAAACCGAGGACTGCATACAAAAAGCAATAAAAAGCAATTTTGTTAAAACCTGCATGATTGTATATTATGTTGGTAACTTTATTTATGCATTAATCACAAGCTTTTTCAGACATTGACCTGGTCCCTCCAAACAATTAATTTTAGGCATTTAAAAGAAGCAGTATAGCGTTCCCAGTCCACGGTACTGGCGTTGTTTTAGGTCAGCAGTAATTAAGGCTTTAAATCATGAATGATGACCTTAGCCTCCATGTTCCCTGCATGTGTGCTACCCTCTAGTCTTGGAGCCTTAGAAATGTCTCCACCATCGTTTTAGAGACTGATGCCATTGATTTGGTTTATTTTCCACTTTTCAGTTTCTTTAGGTCAGGAAATGACCTGCTGCTTTAGCAGATTTAGCCTATTGCATGTTGTAGCTTTCTGTTAAGGGATTTTCCTTTGATGCTTGGTAGGAAACCAGACTTTTTTTTTTTTAACATAATGACTCTTTTGTATATATTAAAGCTGGTTTTACTGGAGCTATAGCTTCAAAAGTAGCTCTTGGATTAGTTTTCTGAACATTCAAAGGAAGTCGGGGAGTTAAAATACCTTCCTCCTGCTTGGTAACAAGGTCTGCAAGTCTTCCTGAGTCCATTATCATCGAAAGTGCCCGGTCATAATCTGTGGAGAAAGCAAAGTCCAGCTGTTTTATTTATGAAAAATAACCCACCCATCCATAGTTATGCACACCCAGACACTCCAAGGCTCTCTGAAGCTCACCACACAGCTTTGATGGAGAATTTAGGTCTAGATAGTGAGTTGATCATGGTTGCTTTTGTATCTCATGAACCATTTCTCTGTTAATTTGGCAACATTTCCGATAAACGTTGGCAGAGTTTCTTTTCAAACAAATAACAGAAACATTTATGACCAAACTAAACATTAACAATTGGTAGCAGAGAGGTGGAGCACTATAGGTGGTCTTAGGTGATACCCACACATGAAAAAACCACTAATGTCGGCCAAAAAGTACCAGCTCTCATAAAGAAAGCTTTTACTATTTCTTTTACAATCCTGTTTATTCTTTATAGTTACAAAATAAACAGTAGCCCTAATTCAACGTTTTTTTTTTTTGATGATTTATACTTATTATATTTATATATACTTATAAATATTGATCAAGTAAGTGGCTTTGCTTCTGCAGCTAATTCCGACATAAAAATAAATAAACAATGCCCATGTTGTCTTGTTTGACGGATTTTTAAGTGTTTTTCATCTGTATATCATTTTATTCATAAACCAGCGAAAAAAGACGCCGTCAATGTTGACAGAAACTCCGAACACCTTATATTAGTAAATGTCAAACTACATCTATTTGATAGAAATTGTTGACTAAATGTAAGAAAAAACACCCTGAGCGTCATCTTCCTCACCTTCCTGGCTGGCCCGCTCATCCTGGATCCTGCTGAACATGTTGTTTATTTCCGTAATAAAGTCGGTGAAGATGGCCTCCGTAAACCCGGCCGCGTTGCAGTTTCTCCAGAAGCTGGCAGAGTCGATGTCAGGCTTTGGGTCTGATGGAGGCGTTCCGGCAGGCTCTGTGAGTAGGGGTGCGTGTGGGGAGGGTGGTTCTGGTGGATGTGCTAAGGCAACCTCTCTAGGTAGAGGTGCTAGAGGGATGGGCCATTCTTCTGAAGGAGAGGGGGAAGGGGGAGGGGGGATAGTAACACAGATGGATTCAGGCAGAACTTCTTTAAAGCTGGAGAACGGCACAGAGCTGCTGGGCTTGGAGTGCTGTGGGGAAGTGGTGGAGCTCTGCTGTGGGACGGAGACGGAGGGTTTGAGGACGGGTTCTTCATAACCGTGGACCGGATCCTCTTCAAAGACGAACTCTGAGAGCAGAGACAGAGCAATTTGCTCCCAGGTTATTCCAAGATCATTATACATTTAAAAATTTTTGGTTTCAGGTCTCCCCTCTCCTATCTCCTTCTTAAGAGGAGGCCCCAGGTCATACCTTCTATTTCTCTCTTCACCGTCTGCACCTCCGTCTCTACCATCTGAATGTGGCGACTCTGCTCGGTTACAGCTGCAGGTGCAGGATTTAAGAGAAGCATGGTGCCGACTGCCACCCCAGACAGCAAACTCTCAGACTCCGCATCCTGGGAGGAAACCACACGACTGACATCATGGACAAAATTTTGATTTCAGAATATATATTTTTAAATTTTAACTATTATATACAAGTTCAGTGTGTTTTCTAGTGGATCTTCTCTGTACGTTTCCTCCACTTTCTCTTGGACCTCTGCTATCCCTCTCCTGACAAAATACATGAATGCATGACATGAAAACCTGGACAATTTGTGGTGCATCAATCCATATAGATAAAAACACGTACTTTTACAATTATTATGAGCTTGGATATATAAAATCACATTCATAGACTGATGATATCAATAATATGTGCCAATAACACATTTGTTTTATTAGCACTTTTAATAAAACAAATATACTTTATGAGGTGGATATGCTGCTTTTTGGAGCCAGTTAGATTATTTAAGGAGGGTGTTACACAGTTTTTTGAACGTAACTCACACTTGGACTTTTAAAGAAGTCTCTTATGTCTCTTTTTCTTTTTTTCCAGACACCCTGATAACCAAACACACACGCCCACATGAAACCAATTCAAAGATTTGATTAAATTAAGACATCTGATATCATAACCCTTATAGTTTATGTGACCAAATGAAAGAAATGCCTAATTTACAGTCGCTTTTTGCAGAGCCATGTTTTTTCAGTGGTGCATCAGACGTTGGTAGGATGAGTTTCTCAGGAGTGACAGATGTAACAGCCAATCACAAAAGAAAGGACGGACGGCCAATCAGGAGCTTGCTGGCGGTCTAAACTGAGGGTCGCGGGCTTCAGCTTGAGCTGTGGTTTTCTGCTTGGTCCTAGTGCTCGATGAATGTCTGCGTACTGTAGCATAACGGTCTTTTGAAAAAGTGCAGGGGACATGTCCCCTGTGTGCCCCCCAAAATTAAACCAGTGGCTGACATCACAACGCCGTCAAGCTGCTTGCGTTCTCCATAAAAATAATCAAATATCAAATCGGTAAAAGAAATGAAGCAAAGAGAACTCACAGAATGTACGAGTGTTTCATTCTCTTCGTTGTGTACATCTGCATTCACATTCTCCGCCGGAATCCCTAAAAAAAACAACAACAAAGAAACAAAAACAGCCCAAGGTTGAAAGAAACATTAATTTTGATTTATTTTTCTGCTAAAACTGCTGTGCAGGTTTACCTGCTGAGGAACCTGGAGGGTTTTTAGAGAACTTGCTGCAAGAGGAGAGCATTAAGACAATTGATGTTTGAAATAAAAGAAGCCTTTTTTTTTTTTTTTTTTTGATCACCATTTCCAATGAAAATAAAAAATATAGCAGTTGTTACCTGATAAGAAGGGACTGAGCTGACTGAAAAAGACCAAATATATCACAGCATTTAACATCTTCAGCCTCCAGTAAATACATCAAACAATAAAAGCTCAGACCTACTTCTTGCTCCTGCACACTATCCTCCAAATCTGACTCTAATGGAGGCATAAGTCCTTCCTCGTCTGTAGAAAAAGGGAGAGCGCATGAATTAAACCAACAAAGCAGCATTAGTTTGAATCAATGTAACAGTCTGAACCTGTGTTTGAAGAATCGGATAATATCCTTTTCCTTTTAAATGATCTTCTACTCGATGGGCTTTTCTCTTCTTCCCTGTAAGGAGAAGGTCAAAGGAATCAACATCTGTAGCTTTCCAACAGGAGCTTTGCTTTGACTTTAGTTCATAATTCGTATTAGCGCTAAAGTTTGCGGTCATTTCAGAAACTTAAAGGTCAAAAAATATTTTCACTCTTTTTCTTGCTCCAGGTTGTTGTAAAACTCTGTCAGTGTTTTGGGGGTTTTCTAGTTCACTCTGATGGTTCCTGAACATTTTCAGTCATGTGGCTGAAACTTCAACACACCTGATCAATGATCCACTCTCATCAAAACCGCTGATTTTGTTAAAACAATTCTTTTAAAATGATGTGTAGACCATTCACCTCAACCATACAACTAAAGAGCCAAAAAGAAAGACGTATGTCCAGAACTTCAATGAAATTATGAGGAAAGCAATTAAAGAGGAAGGAAAGCAATTATATCATCCAGGAATTAGCTAAGACTGAAACAATTAATGAAATTAATCGTGATAAATCGATTATTAAAATAATAGTCAACTAATTTAGTAATCAATTAATGGTTTACTGGAACTGGACTCTAAAACATCCCTTTAGCTGACAGAACAAACCGCTTTGAGCAGCAATTATAGCAAAATTGTGAAAAAACATATTAACAAAACTTTGTAATTCAAGATAAAAGAAAAAACTTTATCAGTATGATCTATCCAGAACACCCCAAGTGGAAATGTTTTGTTTCACCTGTTTTGATTTAGATTTTCAAAATACAGTGGAATTCGCTTATAGTGATCACATTGGTCCAGAGCCAATTTGAGCACAATAAGCGGTTGATTACTCTATACAAATTTACCATTATTTCACTTATTTTTTATGCAGAATATCATCTAAATTTCTCAATGAGAAAAATAAAATGAAATGGGTAGCTTCTGCATTTACTGAATTTTATTACATTACCATAAAAGTTTAATGACAGTATACTGTGCTGTGCACAGATATAACTCTGGTAGCCTGCTACCGCTGGTGCATTTTTTTTTTTAACAAGTCCGAACTTTGACACAAACGGTAATAGAACAACAACATAGAAGATAACTGCATAGGCTACAGAAAATTAAAGCTAGCCGACGTCTGTTTTGTGTTGCGGATCTGCTGCGCCGCATTAAGAAATCACTTCACATATTTATCCATGGTTCCTTGGATCAGAGTGTTGTCCAACACCAAGTTCACTTCTTTTTCAAAACGATATAAAAGGTCAAAGTTTTTGAAACCAACATGCAGGAGACCAGTCTTTAAAATGCAAACTGCATTCCTCATCTAAGCTCTGGAAGAGACAACAGTCTCCACATCCTCATCCTCCTTGGTGCGCGCAGCACTGGTACCCACACCAAATAGCTCTTGTACCTCCATGATGATGCCCTCATCCGTCACAGGCTCTGACACCTGAGTGCTGTCACCACTTTCGATCCACTTATTATTTTTGCACGTTTACATCCATAAAATGACCAAAAATGAAGACAATAAGCGGATTTCTTGATTACTGTAAACAAATTATTTAAACAGCATTTGTATAGAAATTATTCTGTCCCAAGCCTTTTGAACACTATAAGCAGATTCCACTGTAGTTTTCTAGAATCAGCCTTAGATTATTATTAGATTCTACTTGCACTTATGGCTGAGATGAAGCTGGTTTCTCAGGGCTGCTGATTATTTTTTAACTCTTCACTATCATGTTGTTCTTATTTCTAAGGTCCACATTTGTGTGATTGTTTTTTTCTATAATCGTTTTACTGTAAACACCAGAATTTCCCCATTAAGGGACAATAAAGGAAGTTTCTATTCTATTACAGGTGCTGGTCATAAAATTAGAATATCATGAAAAAGTAGATTGATTTCAGTAATTCCATTTAAAAAGTGAAACTTGTATATTATATTCATACATTACATACAAACTCATATATTTCAGATGTTTATTTTGTTTAATTTAGATGATTACAAATGACAACAAATGAAAATCTCAAATTCATCATATCAGAAAATTAGAATATTACTGAAGACCAATAAAAACAAAGGATTTATAGAAATGTTGGCCAACTGAAAAGTATGAACATGAAAAGTATGAGCATGTACAGCACTCAGTATTTAGTTGGGCCTCCTTTGGCCTGTATTACTGCAGCAATGCGGCGTGGCATGGAGTCGATCAGTCTGTGGCACTGCTCAGGTGTTATGATAGCCCAGGTTGCTCTAATAGTGGCTTTTAGCTCTTCTGAATTGTTGGGTCTGGTGTATTGCATCTTCTTCTTCACAATACCCCATAGATTTTCTATGGGGTTAAGGTCAGGAGAGTTTGCTGGCCAATTAAGAACAGGGATACCATGGTCCTTCAACCAGGTACTGGTAGCTTTGGCACTGTGTGCAGGTGCCAAGTCCTGTTGGAAAATGAAATCTGCATCTCCAAAAAGTTGGTCAGCTGCAGGAAGCATGAAGTGCTCTAAAACTTCCTGGTATGTGGCTGCGTTGACCCTGGACCTCAGAAAACACAATGGACCAACACCAGCAGATGACATGGCACCCCAAACCATCACTGACTGTGGAAACTTTACACTGGACTTCAAGCAACGTGGATGAAGTGCCTCTCTTCTTTTCCTCCAGACTCTGGGACCTTGATTTCCAAAGGAAATGCTAAATTTACTTTCATCAGAGAACATGACTTTGGACCACTCACCAGCAGTCCAGTCCTGTTTCTCTTTAGCCCAGGCAAGACGCTTCTGACGCTGTCTGTGGTTCAAGAGTGGCTTGACACAAGGAATGCGACAGCAGAAACCCATGTCTTTCATACGTCTGTGTGTGGTGGTTCTTGAAGCACTCACTCCAGCTGCAGTCCACTCTTTGTGAATCTCCCCCACATTTTTGAATGGGTTTTGTTTCACAATCCTCTCCAGGGTGCGGTTATCTCTCTTGCTTGTACACTTTTTTCGACCACATCTTTTCCTTCCCTTCGCCTCTCTATTAATGTGCTTGGACACTGAGCTCTGTGAACAGCCAGCCTCTTTAGCGATGACCTTTTGTGTCTTGCCCTCCTTGTGCAAGGTGTCGATGGTCGTCTTTTGGACAACTGTCAAGTCAGCAGTCTTCCCCATGATTGTGTAGCCTATAGAACTAGACTGAAAGACCATTTAAAGGCTTTTGCAGGTGGTTTGAGTTAATTAGCTGATTAGAGTGTGGCACCAGGGGCCATCAATTTTGAACCTTTTCACAATATTCTAATTTTCTGATATGATGAATTTGAGATTTTCATTTGTTGTCATTTGTAATCATCAAAATTAAACAAAATAAACATCTGAAATATATGAGTTTGTATGTAATGTATGAATATAATATACAAGTTTCACTTTTTAAATGGAATTACTGAAATCAATCTACTTTTTCATGATATTCTAATTTTATGACCAGCACCTGTATCTGTCAGAGGCATTTCTGGTATAATTTTTTAAGAAAAATTTTAAATACTAACAAGAAAAACAACATTTGACATTATTTGATGGTAGAATTTTCACCTTTTTTTAAAATTCAAATCTGATTTAACAGTTATAAGATATAGCATAAAGAAGAAAACATTAATGAAAAGGTTGGTTTCAGAAAAGCTTTGATGAACATGGTAACTTACTCATTGAAACTTAGCTGTCTCTGGAAAAACAAGAACGAAACACAATCAAACATCCGGTCAATAAGAAATACAAGAGGGTCAAGGGATAAATGGTCTCAAAAGCAGTTTAATGATTTAATACCTTGGTAGAAGTAAGCGGTGCACTGGATGAGTCACTGCTGCAAGAAGATGAGGTTCTAGAAGCTGAAGGATCTGCAAAACATTTAAGAAGATTTAACAGAAATATATTGAAATTAAAAAATGGAAAAACAAGAGGATATGAAAATCTTAAAGAGATCCTACTGTTGGCTCTCCTCTGTTGAGTCGAAGAAGCATGTTTGTCACAGTACGATCTTAAAAACACAAACATCTTATCAGTCACTTGCCATATGAAACAAAACAGCTGATCTTAGTTAAATACTCACATAACGATGGTGTTACGTAAACCATCCAAGCTGATATTTCCTTCTTTCTTCTCACAGGTAAGGCAATACGACTCATAATGAACAAAATATGGAAATCATTATTTGGTATAAAAGCTGTGCTAAAGACCAAAACCCTCAAAAGGATTTAGATTCATTTTCAACTGAAAGGAAATCACCATTTAAACTGTTTTTAAGGGCAAAGGCACATTATTTCAACCTAATATATAAATATGAACTGCTAATAAAATTGAAAACAAACTTTGAGCGATGCAACTTCGCCGGGGTTCTTGAAGGATGGGGACTTTTTGCGTTTATTTTCCGAACTGCCATTTTCTAGGAAGAAAATCAAAATTGACAAATTATTTATAAAAAAACAAAACAAAAAAAACAAACAAAACAAAAATAATAATAAAACATGCAGCTTTGACTCCTTACCTGTATTACTGTGGCGTACGCAGTACAGTCTGTTGCACAACAGAAAGAAAGTCAATAAAAACAGATTATACTCCAGAATGTCGATGCATTAGATCAGAACTGACCCATATTTCCCATCGTCATTATTCTCAAACGTCTTGGCTCCCCCTTCGACAGCACACGGGTAATGGAAAGTCCTCTTGCAGCGTCCTACCTCGCACCCTGCTGTGGCCCCCTTTTTTTTGCAGCCGCTACAGGTCTAAAACAGAAAAAGCAGACCAAAGAACTAAAGTGAGTCCAGCAATCAGGAGGAATCTGTTCTGAACTAAATAGACTTATCTCCCTTTACCAGTTTGCGTCCTCGTTTCACCTCCTTCTGCACGTCTGTGACAGAGAAGCCAAACAGGTCGTCAAACTGTGGCGTGCTGGTGCAAAAAATGCCCGAAGCAAAGAGCTGGAAATTAACAAAGGAAAATAGGTTTAAAAACAACAACAATATAAATATAATTTTAATGTTAGAAAAAAAATAGCTTATTATTGCTTATTACAGTATACTCCTTGAGATTTTTAAAATTTTAATAAATGTATTTTATTCTGCAATGCAATGTGATAAAGCCAGCCTTAGAAATGCAGAACATTAGGATAAATACAATTCTTTCTGCCTCTTATGTTTTAGGACAGTTTTAAGGATTGTATTTAAGTAAAAAGTGTTGACTGTATGAAGAGGTGTTACTAAGCTTAAGTTAGCTTTTGATTTGGGAAACAGCTCTTGGGAAACGGTAACAAAAAATAATACAAAGGAAGAATAAACCAGACAAAAATATTATAACATGCACATAAATAAATACTTAAAGAAATATTTAATAAATAAATAAAGTTGAAGCATATAACGGACAATAAATAAATTATTACAAAGGTGAATAAATAAAGAAGCTAATTAAAAGATATACATATATGTCTCACTGTATAATTTAATTTCATCCTACATATATTTTTTATTGTATTTTTTAGAGGGGCAATTAATTGTATGCTTATTTATTTTTGGAGCATTTATTTATATCTGCATTTATTTTTAATTATGGCAGGATTGGTCCTCCATACAAAAAGCCACTAGTACAAAATACAGTCATAAACCTGTAATTATAAAACTGGAGCTCCTTTGAGTAACTCCCTTTTATATACATATAAACTTGATAAATTGGTAAAGTAATGCAGAACATAAACAATAGACTGACTTAATCGGTTTTACTTTGTTTTAATCCAGACATCCAGGCTTGTTTTGATGAGCTCTGATAGCTCAGCACCAGGCTGTTCTCTACATCCAGGATGTTCCGCTGCTTGGTTTGGATGTCAGAGCTGAAGGTGAACTCAAAGAAAAACTTACTTTTTGGTTCATTAAAGCTTGTTTAATTTTTCAGTTGGATCTCAACAAAGCAGAACAGATCTCTGCCATATTTACTTTTACTACCTAAGAAAATATTTTCATATACCCCTACAATACTCTCAAGGACCACTAGGGGACCGCGTTCCCCCGGTTGGCTCCAGGTCCTCCATACATTTCAACTATTATACGGTAGTTTCAGTTTAAAGCAAATAAAGATATAGAAACTATTTTGCTTACCGAATTAAATGTGGGTTATCCTATTTTAAATTTCATCCGCCTGCATTAGTCTGAAAGTCTGTTTTTCTCAAAGATAAAATCAACAAACTGCACTTTGACTTCTTGAAGAATTGCGCATTTCAATCTCTTCAATTCAGTAAGTTTTGTTTCAATTTTCATTCTAATTAAATCAAAGTTCACATCAGTCATATTGCGAAGATCTTCATGCATGACTTAGCGCCATTTTTAAAAAACTTTTCATACTTCCTGCGAACCGATGGTTGGCTCACTCAGCTGGTCAGCAAATGACTGAAATGAATGCTCTTACCAGGCAGTTCTCATGCGCCGTGATCTGGTCTTTGGTCGATAAGGTTCCGGTTTTTGGACATTCCTGGGAGCGACCGCAGAGGACGCAGGTCACTGCGCAGCCTCGGCTCATTTCTCTGAAAATAAACCGTCAGTTCACATCGACTTTCGCCTGCAGGTTTCTTTCCTGGAGTCATTCCTAAACCCCTCCTACCTACAGTTTCGATTTCCTTCACTTTTCTTTTTCACCTTCTTCGGTTTATATTTTTTTGGCGGCTAGAGAATAACTCTTTGCTGCTTTATCGCCGCCTCCTGGCATGGAGTGTGAATTAGAATGGCATTTTTAATTTAATCATGTAAATAAAACAATTCTGGTGCTAAACTTTTATTAAGGCATCAGCATATTGACTTTTACTTTAATAGAAAGAATACCGATATAGAAAGAAGACAGAAAATTGATCTAATTATGACAGTAATTGATTGATTATTGATCTCACAGTGGAGAAATTTAATGGTTACATCAGCTCACATAATCAAAGAAGACGAATGTGCCAAATGAAGTAAAAGGTGCATGATAAATGTTCCACTTTCCATTAAGGCATTAAACAGTATCAAGCAGTAAATTGTGTAATAGGCAATGGTATTCAAAATTCAAAATTTAAACTAAACTGACATGCTTTTTTTGGTATTCATTATCTCACATAACAGATTTTTTTTAAAGAAGGATTTTTATACATTTTTGTTATTGTTAATGTAATGTAACATGCTTCCTTAGGTATTTATGTATTGTCTTATAATGGAATTTTATTGCAGTGTGACATATAGTTATAGTCAAATTTCCTTTGGGACTATAAAGTTAATCTTATCTTATATACAGTGCATCACTATGTGAGAGATTTTTATTTGTGTATTTTTTTTTTAACAGTAGGATCATTACACAGGGTTATTACACAGGGTGTTTTATATATATACATATATATATATATATGTGTGTGTATTTATTGCACTGGGTGTCAAATATAGAGAAACAGCACAGGGTATCAAATAGTAATTGCACATTATACATTGCACAAGTTATTGCTGTTGTTTGTCACATTGCGGAGTTAGTTCTATTTGGCACATTTCATGTTCTCAAATTTTCCTTGATTTAGCAGCAAAAAATTGTATGACCATAACTAGGAAGAACAAATAAAAAAAAAATTGACAAAAGAAAAAGAAGATTTAAAAATATATATTATATATATATATATATATATATATATATATATATATATATATATATATATATATATATATATATATATATATATATATATATATATATATAAATATATATATATTGTTAAAGAAAAATGATTATTTTTAGACTTTATTACAGTTAATCTTATGGCATGTGTAAACACTCTCACTTGAACATATTTCTTAATTTTGAACAAGGCTGTGTTAATGATTTAAAACTACTAATGGGTAAGTATTTAGAGCACCATACCATAAAATGAGTATCTCCTGGGGGCGAACATTATTTAAGCCTGCAGGAGAGATTTCTGCTTGGTTTACAGAAGGTCAAAAGTCTTCCAGAATAAACAACCAGGGATGGTGAGGCCCCCGCATTCCACAAGCTGTCTGTGGGAGCTTATCTTGTGTTTTATGACCCTGGGAATGCTAGATGCCAGGACAAGCTTTCCGCCTTTTCTTGTTAAAACAAAGAAGCAAATGACCCCAGATGTTTGCAGTAAATAAGGGGAAGCCCTAGCAGTGTCAGAGATGGCTTTTGGTTGGAGGACCGAGGGCCAGCCCCTTTTTGAATGGATTAGATACAAGAGGATAAAGCTTTCTAAATAGAAGAAAAAGATCAGATTTTGCTCTTGCAAACTCTCCAAAGATGTCTTGTTCGTCTTTGCTTTCTTTCCTCCTATGTCAGGTAATGGAATGTATGTCTCTGTTGTTCTGCAGTTTCTGGTGTAGGTTTGTGCATTGTCTTATTTCTAAAGTGTATGCATTGTCTTATATTGGATTAAACTCTGTAATTCTGTGACGTCAACACGCAATGTTGGTTTTATTACCAAACGCAGCTTGCCGAGTGGACCTGGGGAAGGGAAGAATCAGAAGCCAACCTTTTTCCAAAGTTAACTATGTTAGAATATTTTCTTCCTTTACAATTGGGGGCTCGTGCCGGTTCTGGAATCTCGGCGCGCGGCTGTTTGGTCCTGATTGATCCGTTTCGGCCCGACGCTTCGGTGTGGTAAGACAGTATTTGATTATTTTTCAGTTGTCTGAAGCGCCGTGTGGTCGGACCGGGGCTGATTTGCTGTGTGCGGCCTCACAGAATTCAGAAGCTGCAGAGGTAGATAGGATCCCTCCTAAATGAGTCGGTTGTTTAAGGATTTGAATAAATACACATTACAGGGAACTGTGGCTAGTTCAAACAGAGCCTTTACGTTAACTCTGACTTAAGCTGGGTTTTTTAAAAGAAGGTTTTATTGATTGATTAATTAATTAATTGATTAATTAATAAAGATTAATTTATTCTTTTTACCCTGAGGAGCAATGCCTGGGCCCCTAGAAAAAGTATTTTGGAAATTTGTGTATTGGTTAGTTTTGGCTTGTATCAGCCGGAGATTTCGACTCATCTCCAGTGGACTTATAATTATTTGGGTTAATTGGATCGAGTTGTATCACTCATGGAAAAGGACTAATAGCAGGTTAATTGGACCGAGTTGTATCACTCGTGGGAAATAAAGGACTAATAGCAGGTTGGATCACCTTTCTTTGGCACCCTTAAGCGGGTTGCTTATAGTATAAAGGACTAAAATAAATTATTTGATTTAATACGGGTTCAATCGCTCTCCCCAGCTGAAAAAGAAAAAACCTTTTGTCACTGGGCGGATTGAGTGATCGAATAAACTAAATTGAGGCTTATTTTCGCCTCGAGCTTGACCCAGCTCTGAAGTGTAGGACTGAGAAGTTGAAATGAGAATAAAAGGGATTTGTAAAATTGAAATTGGACAATTAAAAGATGCGTCATACATTCTTTTAGCCGGCACCTGACGTTTTCTTTCTATTTTTTTCTGTCTTTTCTTGACTGAACTACAACGTTGTCTGTGTTTCTGTGTTTTGTATGTTTCTTTGTGTTTGTGGCTGTGTGTCTGTCTTCCCCCGTTATACTGTAGCCTATGTCCCACCACGCGCTGCTGTCTATTCGTCTGTCTGTGTCTGAATTGTGCTGAGATTGTGCGGAAGTGATTTGTGTTTCAAGATTGTGTTCTGAAATATTGTTAAATATTTTTGCTGGATGTTGTATTACTAACTTTCTGTTAAAATGTGCTTCTGTGGGACAGAGGTGTCTCCGTTTTGGATGCAAGTTTTGTTTCACAGCAGGGGGACTGATTGACCCCCCTTATTTGCATTTTGGGAGTGCTTCAGTTCTGTGCTATTTCCAGCTCACGCTTTCAGGATTCTTGGATTTTGATGTGAATTGCTTTAGGACTGTGTTTTGTGTTGAGAAGAAGAGTACAAAATAACAGATTTACAGATGTTTTTACTTTCTCAGCGGGTGAAATGTGTTGCATCAGTTCCAGGCTAGAGCACTGGAATGATCCAATTGTTTTTTATAATACTGTAACATTGACAATCACTTAAATTTCTAGGTTTCCTGACAGGATGGAACACCCTCACTGATTGTAAGAGAACAAAAATGAGAACATATGGATGTTTTTCTGCGTAACAGTGTTTTCTACACTGTTAATGTGGGACATGTTGAAACACTAATGAATGACTTTGTTTCTTGTAGGACGATCTTCGTGTGCAGCCCATTTCGCATATTACATGACCACATGAACGGTTTTTGGGTTTTCCTACAGGGGGTCTAGGTAGCCATTTAATAACAGTGGGCTATCATGAAATACGGTTGTGTGTATAATTTGGAGTTTTTAAAAAGGTTCACTCAAAACTGAACAATATTAGAACTATTGGATAATAATGTCTTTTTATTATTTTTTTTCAACCATGGTGTTATAATATTTGTGTTTAAGACTTTTACAGGATGAATTTTGGTTTGAAATCTGGGGTAACATCCTGCATCTTTCTTACAATGTGTTGATGAGTCTGCTTGAGTGTGAATGAGAGTGAATGTGGAGGCAGATGGCCTTTGATGGGTTTTAGGATGCTCTATGTAAATATGACCTCAGTTTAGTGTGTAGCTGTGTGATATTTTTCTTATTTTAAACTATTTAGGTACACTGAAGGTTTTGTTTCATAAATATGTTTTTATTACTGCTTTAAGGGACAATTTTAAGGTAATGACGATTTCATATTTTGGTGTCACAATCTGGTTGAAGCTGAATCATCTGCTTGTGCAGTGAAATTAATATGAAACGAGAATTCAGCCTTGGCTTAAAGCAGATAGATGTAGTTATTAGGAAATTGTGTTATCCACTTTGACTAACAACACTAACAAACTAACCTAAATTCTAACTAAATAAACTTGGTTTATATTTCATATGGGTGACTGATTGGACATGTTGAAATTTTAGCATAATGGGGGTAAGTTCTTCCATTTTTGTTTTTCCACCTCTAAATTGTTTTTCTTTTGGAAATAAGAAAACACAGGGGGATGTTATAAAGATAAGACATTACAGATGGAACTTTGAAATTTACATAATCTCAGTCTAGTTTGAATACTAGATGGAAGATTTGGAGAAATGGTGGAACATCTTATGATATTTTGGTTTTTCAGCAAATTATTATATAAAAGTGACATAGATTCCAAATTGTTTTCAAAATGAGAATTTTATTATATCAACAGGGGGAGAAGCAGAAGTAGACCCTAATTCCTGGTAAATTTTTGGATATGGTTAATGGTAAATTAGTTAATCAATAATTTTGATTTTTTCGATTCAACAATAGTGAATTATGGATTTCTTTAATGTAGAGTCATATGGCCTTCCTGCTTTACTACAATATGGTGTATGTGATATAGAAGCTTCTACTAAATTAGATTTGATCATCTCAAATTGAACGGTTTCAAATAACATCTATGCCATGTCTATTTACATTTAAAATTGTTGATAGATTTCTGAATCACTGCTGACTTTGATTATATACAGTTGGGTGTAAATTGTTAATTTTGAGGAAAATTTCGGTTAAAACTGCTATGAAATTCAAATAAAATGTAAATAATTTCTGAAATTTTAAAATAGGACTTTGTCTTGAAGCGTGGGACAATGATAAGGATGTTTGGTATTTAGTAGAACAATATGCAATTC